ACTTGATTTAAGATCACTTTTAAGTGGTCGAAATTCCATAATTTTCAGTTGTGATATATAATTTTTTTATTTGATTGGTATGATAAAGTTCATTACTCAAATCGATCCAGTAACTTACGTATGATTAGACTTACACCTTTAATCGATATAGTAGAGTTTCTCTATTAACTTATTAATTATAAGCATTTTTTTAATTATAAGCGAAAGGGTATCCCATAATTGTCTCTACTGAGACTCGAATCCACCACCTCTTACATAGGGGAGCAACTTGGTACCATGGAATATAATTATAAGCATTTTGACATCCAATTATGGATATAATTAATGAATATGGATAGAGATGAGAATATGGATAATCACGTTCAAGGCAGCAATAATTCTTAGACAAGGGGACCAATAAAACAACTCATATTTCGATGGCCAATGAGGAACAAAAATCTTAAATGCAATTAATAATTATATTAGGAACACAATTAAGCTAATACCTAATCTTTTGCTAAGCTAATTGCACACATATATAACTGTCCAGGATCTGATCTGCATTGTACTAATCAGACAACACCAATGATTCTGAAGCTCCAATGCTCTACATACATCGGACCACACATTCATATATTCAAACATGATTCACGGTTGGAAATTATGGAATTTTCGACCACCTGAAAATGATCTTAAATCAAGTCGAAAGCCTTGTTCTGACCACTTTTGGTATCCGGAAAAACCTTTGTTGCTATTTCCGACCACTTTTTACTTTCGACTTGATATAAGATCACTTTCAGGTGGTCGAAAATTCCATAATTTCCAGCAGTGATTGTATGCCCGAAAGGGTAGTACAGTCAATTGGGTGGAGAATGATTTTCGTAACAAAAAGTCATAAATTTAATTTTTTACAATACCCTTTTGGCCAAATCTGTCACACAAAGTCTTTATTAGTATTTATGTACACGGTAATCCTAGCATAAATTATCATATAATAGCAACATGGATTAAAGATCAAGTGATCGATCAGGTGATATACGAGTTAAATACTAATAACCAGATATGATAATGAGAAATTATAACAAATAATCTCAAAACAGGCAATAATAATAATCTATTTTGTCTGATCCAAACCAGAAGTTTGAACCTAGATAACCTCAACCCTCAGGACTATATTGAATTATTGGAGACAATTTATCTTATAAATGACTGAATGACTTATAACTTCGAATAACGCAACCTTATCAAACTCAAATGACTAAAATGTCGTAACCTAATAAGTCATACTCAATAAGGCAAGGATATTAACTCCAACAATAATATATTTCTGTTTTCTTTCTTCTTTACAGATGTAAGCATAGCTTTAAGCCTTTAAATGGTATTAAATTAGTCTATACTTCTTCCTTTAGGTTAAATAATGGTAGTGATATGAATTATAAAGGAAAGTTGCCTCCTGTTTGCCTAAGGAACACTACCGACATGGCGACAAACTTCATGTTGCTTCATTCATTATACCTCAGACTAAGCTTCAGATGAAAGCTTGATAACCTTAAAAAAATACAAATAAAAAAGTGAGATATATAACCTTTCAAAGATTTTAATACTTCAAGATAGACTTTATTTTCATAAAACATTACTAATGATGTTTTATTACTCATGTTCTTTTCTTAACCAATTGAAACCGCGGCGGCTTGGAGAGCCAAATTCAGCATCATGCTATCAAAACGTGATATTGACTGAGCGTTATGTAAGTAATTAAGAAAATAAAGTTGTTGTTTTGATGTTAGATATAACTTTTAGCGTAATGGTAAGTGTTTGATCCTGTTAGTTGGTATCAGAGCAGGTGAAAATAGGTTGTATAGTTGGTGTAGTGGTACTCTCGTACCTAAAGGTCTCAAGTTCGATTCTTGCCAGCATCATCTAAGGTTGAGCCCGCCGCACAGATTCTTTTTAATGTAGTTTACTTCACCTGAGAGGATGTTAAAATTGACAATTTATCACTACACCAAAAGTTATAACTAGTAACAGAAGTGCAATATCATTTTTTTTTTATATTTGCGTAGCAATTCGGATTTGGCCCTTTGACCCTACACCCAACACTATATACTAAATTTAACAATAATTCAACTTTGAGTTAATCAACATAATGTAGTATAATATACCCCACACATTACAAGAATACATTATATAAATTTGTAATATATAAGAATAACTCAATCTTGTTAGGGTTCAAGACATGTACGAGATTCATAATCTTGTTACTTTGTTAGGGTTCAAGTCATTTACTACATTCATATAATCATGTTAAATCCTAGATATGTTTATATATAAAGTAATATTAGTTTTATGAATGATTAATTAATTAAGGCTTTAATTTTGATACCAAAATAATGAAGCACAAAAGGGTAGTTATTAGTTATTGTGGATATACTTATTAATCCCAATAACGAGACAAACATGGCATATAGTTTAGTTGTTGTGGATATACTTATTAATAAAAAATGACATTTTTAATAGGAATTCTCATACTACAAGAATATAATTTTAATCAATATTTTAAAGAAAAAAATGACATTTTTGTCCCATAAAACTTGGGGATGAAAATGTCACTTTGAAGACAATTAAGGAACAAAAAATGAGGCCTTATTTGGTAAAATAAGTAGTCTATCAATCAATTTTGGCTTGTTTGACCACTATTAGTTATTTGACTTATTAAACAATCAACATTAATGTTTGATTAATTAGCTTTTTGTAACAGCTTATTGTTCCAAAACACTAAAATTTAAAAAACTGCTCAAAGCAGTTTTTTGAATCAACCTTTTCATAAAGCCATTTTGTATGCAATCAGCTATCAACTAACAGTTAATTTACCAAACATTTTTCTACAATCAGCTAATGTTATCAACTAATCAAACTCACTAACCAATTAGCTAACAACTATTTATCAAACGCCCCTAGAGTATAATTAAGGAATGAAAAATGTTATTTTCTTATAATATTGAGATGAAAAATGTCATTTTTATATTTTAAAATTTAATTTGTATGAACAGTAAAATATACTCGTATATTTTATTGCAAACAAAAAAAAAAAAAACATTAAAATAACATTTACATGTAATACATTATTTATTAGTTGAAACTTGAACCAATAATTGCTGATTTATACAAAATGTTATCCACTTTGTACAAACAACAATATATTTATTGTAGTTCAAGAACAGATGTTGGATGTCTGTTGAACACAAAAGTATGGGTGTGTTTGAATAAGGTAAATAGTAATGATGATTAATTTAATTTAAATAACTATTAATTAGCAGTAAACTCCAATTAAGCCAGTCAGCAAGGTGGGGTTAAACGGCGGAGAGGGCCGTCCACGGTGGTGGAGAGACGACAAAAGTGGGCTCCACCCGCCGCTCCACCATTAACCACTTGCTTATCAACCCCACCATTAAGTATATTTTATAATTTAATTATTAATTTATTAAATAATTTAATAATTAAAAGTTAGGTTGCATCTCCCTCACCTCACGTTTTATTAATTTCAGCTAATTATAATTCAAAAGATAGGTCAACGTTAATTTCTCCATGGAACCATGCATGATTGTATTAATTAACCCCTAAATTAAGTCATCAATTTCGTACTAAATCATCTACCCCAACCACAGAAATTTTAATCCAAGTTCTACGTACTACAATAAGTATATATTTGGGTTGAATACTGGTTTGAAAGTTCAAATTCAGTGTCCTGTCATCGAAATATGGCGTTAACTGTATTGCGGGAGAAATATAATTAAGAAACTAAATTTACGCCTTCACTTAAGTGTTATTATTATTATTATTATTATTATTATTATTATTATTATTATTATTATTTTTAAGGACAAATTAATAAATATACACTCTTTTTTGACAAATAGTTAAGTCTTGGCGTCTTGCTGAGATGGGCAAAACATATTTCGGAAAATCAGATGATATGTACAAACTTAATTAGTCATCAACACCTACGGCTACATATGCATTTTCTAATTTAAGCCTATTGCATCACTATATGTAATATAAAAATTAAAAAACTATATTACTTTATCAATTTTCTAAAAATAATGTTAGATAAGGGCATACAATTAACAATTATTTTTCAACGTTGCAATGATTTATTTTAATACATATATATTAGAGAATTATTATATTGCATTTTAAAAAGTTACTTTTTACAAATTGTAAGTACAAGATTGAATGGGTTTCAACTTTCAACCCTAAATAATAATACTATGGACGGGTTTGGTAAAATAGTTAGTCTATAGATTAATTTTAATTTATTTGACTACTATTAGTTTTTTAATTTGGTTGAAAAATTAATATAAGTGTTTGGTTAATTAGCTTTTTATAACTTTAAAATACTAAAATTTAAAAAGATGCTCAAAGCAACTTTTTCAATTATCTTTTTGAGAAAAAAATTATACCAAACAGCTATCAGTTAACAGCTAATTTACCAAACACATTTCTACAATCAGCTAATGGTATCAGTTAGTTATACCTTTAATTAACCCAATAAGCTAACAACTATCAGCTAACAGTCATTTACCAAAAGATGTGACTAATCTAATTGATTGTTGAACGGCTTCAATTGGAATTACTCTTTCAAAAGTGTTGCTGCATACAACATATCATCGTTCTTTTTCATTTATAGTAGTAGACACAATACCTTATCATAGAAACAACCGCACATTGTGAGATTAGACTAATTTAATCAACTCTCGATTGACTCTTATTCAGGATATAACTCTTCCAAAGTAGTGTTGTTGCTGCATACCACCGCTTTTTCTGTTTATATAGTAATAGACACATTACCTTATCATAGAAGTAACGGCATGCACCTTATGAAATGAAACTAATTTTGTCAATTCTCAATCCGCACCTATTTAGGTTAAATATAAAAGGCCAAGGATTAAATTGAATTAACAACATTAATTTACCCATTTTTTTTCTATTCTATTATGCCTATATTAATCAAAGTTTTTTTAAGGTGAGAGAAATGACTGCATTTTGGTGTCCTTGTCTCCTTCTCTTTCCCTTCCCTCTCTCTCTCTCTCTTTCTTCTTCTTCCTTTCTTCCTTCCCTTTCTCTGCACTCAAATCCCCAGCCACACAAGTAATCTAGGGTTCTTAGCTCCTTTTTCCAATAAATATTTCCATTTTCTCCCCCACTAGTCTAAACAAATATATATAATCTTTTTAAAACAATTTTTTTGGTTGGGTTTTTAATTTCTTGATGTTGTTGGCATGGCGGGTTTAGATTTAAGCGCTGCGTCTTATGTTCATCACCAGCTTCACCACCCAGACTTCAACCTGCAAACCCTGCCGGAAAGTAAAGATGACGGCGGCGGCGGCGGAGGGGGAGATATTGTGCCGCGGCGGCCGAGGGGAAGGCCGGCGGGGTCCAAGAATAAGGCGAAGCCGCCGGTGATAATCACGAGGGAGAGCGCTAATACGCTCCGAGCTCACATCTTGGAGGTGGGGAGTGGGTGCGACGTGTTCGACTGCGTGGCGGGGTATGCGCGGCGGCGGCAGCGCGGGATCTGCGTGCTGAGCGGCAGCGGGACGGTGACGAACGTGACGCTGCGGCAGCCGACGGCGGCGGGGTCGGTGGTGACGCTGCATGGGAGGTTTGAGATACTGTCGCTCTCCGGCTCGTTCTTGCCGCCGCCAGCGCCGCCGGGGGCCACCAGCCTCACTATTTTCCTGGCCGGCGGGCAAGGGCATTTGGTCGGCGGGAGTGTCGTCGGCGAGTTAACGGCCGCCGGCCCCGTCATCGTTATCGCCGCCTCCTTCACCAATGTTGCCTACGAAAGACTGCCGTTAGAGGAGGACGAAACCTCTAACGTCGACAACGGCGGCGGCGGCGGAGGCGCAGCCTCCGCCGCCGGAGGTGCCGTCTATAACAACCCATTTCCCGACCCTTCCACCGGCCTTCCCTTCTTCAATCTCCCTATGCCTAATATGCCACCCTTCGGAGTGTAACAAATAACCGTTGAAGAATCTCCGGCAAGAAATAGGAATCTCAGCTCCAATATTCATATCTTCAGGTCAGAAAGTTCATCAGTAACGTGCACCATATTCATCACCATCATCTTCTCTCTCTCTCTCTTTTTCATTTTTTTTGGGTTTTTTGTAACTGTTTTGTGTTTCGGTTTTGTAATTCTTAATTTCAACTTCTGGAAATAGTGGTAGCTGCAGTGTTCTTTATGGGACTTTCTCTTTAAGGAAATGGTTTGAACATTCAACTCCAAATGGAAATGCTACTGTACATTAATTATTCAATTTCCACTTCTTGCATTTTTATCTTTTATTTATTAATTTATATATACTCCCTAATATTTTGTAATTAAAGAAAGTATATATTGAACTATATATAAAATGTAACCAAAGAGGGTAGGTTAATTAATACCTCGCATTCGTCAAGTATAAAATACAGTATTGTGTAACATGTAGAAGTTTTCAGGCGTATTCTTGCACCCAAGTATAAGATGTAACGTTATGTGACGTTTTAAAAGTTTTCGGGTGTCTTAGATTGAAGGGTTTTTGAAGAAAAAGGATGTTGAATTGTTGGATGAATTGAAGCTAAGGGGTGTGTGAATTGGAATGTAGTGTTGGGGTTTAACGAAAAATAATGTTTGTATTTAATTTGTTGGTTTAAGGATAGATAGGTGATGAGATTTGTTTTGTTTAATTTAATGTTTTGGGAAATTGATCCCTCCATTCTGGACCTTTAATTTGCTGAAAACAATGCTTCTTTCCCTCAGCTAACACTGCAGAAAAAATGGTTGTGTTCTTAGTTTTATCAGTACCTATATATATATATATATATATATATATATATATATTACACCCGGCACCTATTCTCATTCTATCTCATCAAGATACACTATATTGAGGTGCAGCCCTAACCGAGTTAGATTATTAGTTTGATAATAATAAGATTCTTAAGCTGATTTACTTCTTTGTGGTTCAAAACTTTATGATATAATATTAATCACTATCGATGCAACTCATATCATATAGTATTATTTAATCTTATATACTAGAAAAATTTTACAATACTAATGACCAACGATACAGTTCATATCTGATATCATATACGCTTAAAAAAAAATAGTTGTATTCTTAATTTGCAATGACAATCTCTCCATTTATCGCGCCTGCTCCCACTCGATGTATTTTAGTAAGATATCTTATACAATATTGACTGATTAACATCATTAATGATCATATTAGATGTGGCCTGGTTTAAACCAACTTTCTATAGTAATATACATGCTATGGAGTAGATATTTAGTAATTTTACCATATATATATTCTCTGAATTGGTGACCTACCCACAATTTGTAAGATGGAATGTGGCATAATGGACACTTAATTCATGACATTGTTGATATACTACTATATAAGTACAGTACCTAGTACACTCTCGTACCTAGGAGATAATGCAGCTATTTATTTATATATCCAGTACGTATTTAACTATTTATCCAGATTTATTATTTATTAAATACTTATTAGATAATTTGTTATGCCTTTCTTCCAACATCAGTTACTTCCCCCCTATTGTATGCATTAAAATCAGTAAAATATATTGCATAAAAAACATCAGATTATCTGTTCGGTTAACTTTTCTTGATGAGAACACAAAGCTTCATTGCCCAGAAAGGGGCCGAATTGGCCCAGTGGAGTAGTATAATTATACTTCATAAGTTAGATTCTTGTCAATATCTTCTTGTTGGTTGATTAAACTATCACTGAGAACTTTAATTTCTAGTATAGTTCATCTCTATTGTGTTGTTTGCGAGCTATTACACAGTGAGGTTTACTTAATGCACACTCTCGAGAAATGTTGCAGAATGCGCTAGGCTCTAATCGGGCGCCTGGGGGCATCTAGTGCCTAGAGTCCCTAGGCGCCGCCTAGGAAGCCTAGTAATTCAAGTATATCGTCTCCACTTGGGAAGCCTAGTAATCCAAGTATATCGTCTGCACTTGTCCCACTCAAGATTAGGAGTTGTTAGACTGTTATAATCCCTCAAACTAGTCAACTGCATATCTTAGATGATTAGTTGAGTACATGGCTGGAGAAATATAGAAGAGGATTAGCCGAGTAGGCAAAAAATAATCACTTGCCCTAGTTGAGCGCCAACTCAGCCGAGTCAGCTCCTAGGGTGCCTAATCGGCCAGTTAGTCGATCAGCCGATTAAAAGCCGCCTCGGGCTTAAATCGCCTCGACCTAGGGGCGCCTAGTGCCTAGGTCGATTTTTACAACACTATTCTTGAGTAGTGGTTGTGGATGAGTTTCTCTCTTCACCCGAAATAAACAAAGCTATATTGTCTCGTAAAGGGTAGCCAAGTAGTGAAACAAGATTCTCATACTTGAAAGATCAATTCTTGCCAACAAAGGTTCGGTCGACCAAGCTAACCAAGTCACATAGGGTCTTCCTAATGCGATTTACATTTCTTTTATAACTATTACATAATGAAATTTACTCCTTGCATCTCTTTAGATAGTGGCTATAGGTTTCGGGTTTCAACCAAAAAAAAAAAGATAAAGCTGCATTTCTGCTAATTAATTAAGCTGTACAGTGTGCTTTAAGTTCTGTAATCTCTTTATATATTCTCCACTTTAAGTAAGATTATGCTTGTGTAGATATGGATGAAAAAGAAAATGGCTATATCTGTGTGTGCAGTGTATAAATATATACATATATACATACATACATATATATTATAGATGAGATCCTTAGTGCAGTCTGATGAAACAAATTCTCATGACCTGCGATTCCGGCCTCAAAGCATAATAATGTTCGATCATCCCACTCAAGATTATATATAAAAATTAATTTTTATATACTATTTTTGGTTGACATTCGATTAATTTGAGAGGTATATATATATATATATATATATATATATATATATATATATATATATATATATATATATATATATATATATATATATAACGTAAAGGTAAAAGTTTGTAAGGTCGGACCCGTGTAAGTATATGATCAATCTTGCATTGTCATCTTTCTAAAATGAAATGCTTAGCTTGAAGAATACTTGTTGATTTTAAAATGGTAATCTTATAACAAGTTAGAGAGTTTGAATATAGCATTCTATTTTTTTTAAAGTACTATTGATTCTGTTACAATGTAGTATCTATCAATATAACTCACATAATATATTCATTTATACTTGCATGAGCAGCTCAGTTGGTCACAGATGTGAAGTTCGTTGTTAAAGTTGTTATTTTTATTATTATATACTCCTATTTTGTGTTATGTGAAAAAATTTTAAAGTAATAAATAATGATTGACAGTCGCCGATTGTAATCATATAATTATGTATTTCATACTTTATTACACATAGGATAATTAGAAATCATTATCAATAATAATTACAATAATGTATGACATATATAATGATATGGTACCATTAGTTATAATGTCGACTAACATTATAAATTTTTTCTATCACATCGGCCCCCAACTTGAGTTTTCCAGCTTCACCCCTAGTGCATACTTTCAAATAGTACGTGATTATGAGTTTTCTTCATCATCTAAAAAAAAACATATATGAACATTAATGTTTTGGTGTATTTTGTTACTAAATTTAGGTGTCACTTTCTTATACAACATATGCGTATAGACCGTGTTTTAGGGTAGTTTCTGCATGTACTAGTGAATATATGCATGCATGTACTAGTGAATATATGCATACATACATATATATATATATATATATATATATATATATATATATATATATATATATGTGTGTGTGTGTGTGTGTGTGTGTGTGTATATATAACGAATATATATAACTATTGTTTTAGTGTATTTTGTTACTAATTAATTTATTACATGATGATTTGGTTATAGATATAGGTACATTAGTAGAAGAAGACAAGATACACAAAAGCTAGTGTGTTTAGTGAATGGAAATTTTACTATTTTTAATTTTTAGAAATATGGAGAAAAATAAAAATTGTGTTCAATATTTGTTTTTATGTGGGAAAAAATTACCGTTAACACTATCTCTACAAGGTCTATAATATTTCGATTGGTTTTAAGAGAGATAGCTGGGGACTCTGTTATATTTGCTTAGATTTGGTGTTAGCTTTCCGGTGACTTTTCCTGATTTTCGAGACTTGCTTTTACATTCTCCGGGGAGCCTCTTTATAGGTGGCCACCCCTTGCTAATTTAAATACAAACTTAAATGCGAAATAATGGGCTATCAAAGCTAAGGGCCGTTGTGTCGGGCTATCAAAGCTAAGGACCGTTGTGTCGCCGTTACTGGTCCTTCCAACGGCTGAGTTAACTTCTCATTAAAGGCGCTCTTTAAGTGGCAACGGTCATCTGTTGGGCCGACTCTCGTTCATGCCTACCGTTGTCTGTGCCGACTCCCCGGACTCGGCTCCTCACTCGGCTGCATTTTCCTCTGGGCCTACCCATGGCCCACAAGGTAGATTCCCTTTCATCCCTTTTTGGGCCTATTACGGCAATCCCAACCTCTAGCCCATTTCTTCCTCTTCTCTTGGGCCCAAGCCCATTGGGTCTATACCCCATCAATTTCTTTCCCTCTAATTTTTTGGTCAGGCCATGAGGTGCTCTGAACCGGCCCTAACTGTAAGAGACACATTTAAACCTGTACCATACTCAGAATAATCCTCATTCGCAACGGATCAACCCAATCAAGGGACAAAATGCTGACCTAATTTTTCTATACCAGAGGGGATTCAAACTCTCGACCTCTCTTAAAGAATGAGAGCGCACAGCCACTCACCAAACTAAGCTGGTTTCTCTCCCTCTAAATTACTAAGTATATTCTCCTAAATTTTGCATTCATCATTGTTGTAACTTGTAACTAGTATTCAGCAGCTGTAGTTTGGCAGGTTAAGCCCACAAGTCTAGACATGAGATTGGGCCAAGTGGGCCAACAACCACCGCAGTCCGGTTGGGAGCTGCGGCGGCGCGTTTGTTCATCCATCCACCAACATCTTTCTCATGTCTGGTTAACAACAAATCATTACATTACTTCTACAACACTATTGCAGGCTACACAATAAAAATTCAAGTTTAGCAGTCATCATATTACAGTACTAAACCACATCATATCTCAACTAATTAAGCTACTACTCCATGGCTCTGATGCCATGTTTCAATCTGCAGAAATGCAGAAAGAGGCCATTAAACTAAGGAATAGAAAAGGGGTGAACTGGGGAAGGGGAAGACGGTGTCGCCTGTTAGCCTTTGCAGGAATCTCGAGAGCGAGAGATAGAGAACGAGCTTGTCAGATGGCAGAGGGGATCGGAGCTGTTCAGTTCATCAAGGAAGCATTTTGGAGGCGGAGTTAGGCCACCCCATGTTGGCATACATTGGCATTGGCTGCACGGGTTGGCCCGCGTTGCTGTATGGCAAGGATCCATGGTGGGGGTGGTGCGGGGGGCTCCTGCTGTTTTCCTCTTCAGACTCGCTCGAGGGGCCCTCCGAGAGAGGGCTGCTGGCCCCTGCAGCCCCCGGGCCGCCAAAGTTCAGCATGTTCGATGGGGGTGGCGGTGGTGGTGGTGCTGGCGTCGGGGATTGCTTCTGCTTTGGCCTTTTGCCATCTGCAATGAAGCTCCCCACAACCACCTGCAAGACAAATTGTTCAACCTGCCTTTTTTAAGGAAAATACTATGTGTACTCCTACTTTAAACTCTCAACTATTACTCTCACACACAAAATCTTGATATAGACACTTGTATTGGGACCCACATAAAAAAAATAGGGAGTACCTGTACTGGTGAAGCTGCGGTGAGCATTCCAGAAACTCCACCGCCCACGACTTTACCATCTCCCCCAGCCAGCGACACGCTCAGCCCGCCTGATCTACTGCGGCTGCCATTGCTTTCAGATAGCAAGAACGAACCCGATAAAGAGATGATCTCAAACCGGCCCTGCATTCGAGGAATTTAACTCGGTTTAGAGGTAAGGATAGGCATATAGGGGTTTCAATTTAGTTCAAAGCCCAAGCTAACCCCCAAACCAATTGGCATAATATGCCGCCAAAATAATGTACTTTAGAATGGCATATTAAGTACAAGAATCGTTTTAGGAAGGGGGGATTTATCCTCCCAGATGAAATCCCGCTATGTGATTACCTTTCTTGTCCAATTTTTTTTAAAAAAAGGTACATTAAGCATGGTCAAGAAGAGCATATTAAATGCATTAAACGAAGCATCTAGCAGATGGCTCCAACTAAAAACTATAGATCGGGATATTAAGTGCACTAACCAGAATCTAGTATCAGATCGTGTAACATTGATATTGCAACAAGTGAACGAACCTCTAAAGTCACTGTGCCACCGCAGGTTGCGGGTTGGCGAAGGGTAACGTTGGAAATAGCGCCATTTGCAGATAGAATGCAAACTGTTCTTGGTCCTTGCTGCGAAAACGCCATTATCTTTTGAGCTATATCCTGCAACAAAAACAAAAACGTATTACCTTAAATCAACATAGGAGTATAGGATACCCTTCGTATTGACAGACACACCATAAACCAACAAAACCAGGACCAAACCGATCAAAGAATAACCTAAATGTGACCTTTTACCAACTAAATCAATTAGCATTATAGCATATATAGCTTACTTCTTTCTGGCAGATAACCGAAACTTTTTATCAAGGTTAAAGGTCTGAAAGAGAGCCCGGTTGGAAGGCTTCTCAGACTCCCAAACAAAAACGATTTTAGATGTAACATTCTGTATAATTACATTACCATTTTTAGCTCAACAAAGAATAAAGTAACCATCTTCATCAATGCATATCACAGCAGCATTTACATAAGCGAATATCACTTCCCATGGTAAAAACTCATTCAAATATAGCATTTACATAAGTGAATATCACTTCCCATGGTAAAAACTCATTCAAATATAGCGTTTACATAAACGCATATCATTTCACATGGTAAAAATGTGATCTTTTTACCTTACCTGCAGTGTAGCTTAAAGCTTTTTAAACTCTACACAACACATCAAAGAAATGATCTTTTTAGCTTACCTGTAAGTAAAAATGTGAGCTTTTGCGTTCCTTGTATGTAAAAATGGCAGCTTTAGTTTAAAAGAGCAGAATTCTATACAATGCCCACAAAGGCGAAATCCCTAGCCCCAAAAGCCCCCACACCCCAACTCAATAGGATTGTGAAGGGGTAAATCAGGGTGACTCTTCACAGCCTGGCCCATCTGAAACTCCCACATGGGAGTCACTAGGCCCGGCCCATTAGGCAGGAGGACCAAAAAGAGTCACCCCACAAGAGGGTGAAACTCCCACATTGGAGCCAACTAGACTCGATCCTATGCCCCCATGCACCACTCAAGAACTGACTGAGCTCGGGAACCAACTAAGCTACCCATGCGGGTAGTAGAATTCTATACAATGCCCACAAAGGCGAAATCCCTTGCCCCAAAAGCCCACACACCCCAACCCAATACGATTGTGAAGGCGTAAATCACGGTGACTCACCACGGCCTGGCCCATCTGAAACTCCCACACGGGAGTCACCAGGCCCGGCCCATTAGGCACGAGGACCACAATGAGCCACCCCACAAGAGGGCGAAACTCCCACATTGGATCCAACTAGACTCGATCCTATGCCCCCGTGCACCACTCAAGAACTAACTGAGCTCGGGAACCAAGCTACCCATGCGGGTAGCAGAATTCTATACAATGCTCGCAAAGACAAAATCCCTCGCCCCAAAAGCCCCCACACCCCAATAGGATTGTGAAGGGGTAAATCACGGTGACTCACTGAGGCTAGGCCCATCAAAACTCCCACACGGGAGTCACCAGGCCCGGCCCATTAGGCAAGAGGACCACAATGAGCCACCCCACAAGACGGTAAAAACTCCCACATTGGAGCCAACTAGACTCGATCCCGTACCCCCTTGCACCACTCAAGAACTAACTGAACTGAGCTCGGAAACCAACTAAGCTACTCATCCGGGTAATAATATGATTGATGAGAATCATGAAATAAAGCTAAGGTTATACCTCTCCTGGGTTCACTGTGATTACATGCGGCGTGAAACCAACTCCTGCAGAGCCTGCAATTCAGAAGCAACTAAACAATTTAAATATATGTATATAATAATAATAATATTATTATTATTACTATCATTAATTATTAATAATATATAAAGGTGGTGAATTTAGTTTAGGATAATCTTGAATAGAAATTGGAAAGAGACAAATGATGCACAGAAGTTTAAGGGAAAAAAGATGACGGATATACCAAGAGCATCAAGCTGTTTCTTTATAGAGCCCGGAGGCCTTCCCCGGATCTTCTTGGCTTGTGTTTCCGACGAAGGAGTGGCGCCGGCGGCGGTAGCAGCGACGACGGCGGAGTCGGGAGCAGCGACGGAGGAAACCGGGGTGACAGGAGAAGGAGAGAGCCCCAACGCGATGTTACCGTCCGGCGAGTACTTCCTGGGCCGCCCTCTCTTCTTCTTCGCCACCGCCGGCTCAATGCTGAACCCGGAAGCCCTAGGAGACGCCCCGCCGGAGCAATCCGCCGGCGGGGGCCCCGCCTTGGGACCCACCATGGAATTGAACGGAAACACCCTGCTCTGCTGCTGCTGCTGCTGCATCATCCCGCCGCCGCCGTTGCTTCCGGGCATGGCGTAGTTGGGCTGCTGCTGCGGAGGCGGAGGCGGCGGCGCAGACATCATCATGGACCGCGGCGGCGCGTGCTCGCCGCCGCGGAATTGCGGCGGCTGGTGGTGGTGGTGCAAGTGGTGGTGGGTCAGTGAGGAATCTTGAGAATCCATTTCTTTCTTTCTTCCTTCTTCTGCTTTAAGCTCTCTGGAAGTTCAGAGATGAAAGCTATGAAAGTGAAAGGGTTTTCTGCTATGTATAGAAGCAATGCTGCTGGTGGGTAAGAGACTGGGGATGTCTGTTTACCAGTAAGAGAGAGAGAGAGAGAGAGAGAGAGAGAACACTGAAATGAGTTACAGTGGGAAAGAAAGAAAGAAAAGCAGGACCGAAAGATGATGAAATGAGGGGAAAGAAGAGAGAGAAAAAACTGGGCTCTGATGTGCTAAGATTAGGTGCACGCTACGCCTTTTGCACCTACCAATGAATTTGTAATTTTTGAAATTTTGAACAAATTAAAAATTTTAGTTACATGTTCTAATTGGCGTATTGGCGTATAAGTAAAAATTTTAAAATTTAGTAACAATTTTTTTTTCCCGTATAAGGATGTTTTTATTATTGATATTTAATAATTTTTATCATTATTTTCAATTTAATTATAAATAATCCATGAATACTGATTTTGTTCTAAATTTGGTTTATCGATTAATTTTTTTTTTTTAGTAAACATTAAACTTAAGGATAATAATGTAAAAATTATTCGTCCAAAGTTGATGGGATTATATCATTTTGTTTTTTTCAAATCTTGTGATGTGATTGTTCTAGCTAATTTTTACATTCTTACCTTAAATTTAATGTTTACTAAATAAATATTTAACCGGATGACTAAATTTGAAACAAAATCAATAGTTAATGGACTATTTACGATCAAATTGAATGTTGAAGATAAAAATTGATAAAATTCATTAGTCAATGAACCCTTTATTGGCAAATTGAAAGTCAGAAGATAAAAATCAATAAAGGCAAATGACTATTTCTGAAATTAATTTTAATTTTCAATGATAAAGCTAACGAATTGCCTGAATTAAGTATTGATTACGTATAGAATATGAAATTGTTTGAAGTAAATTATTTTTCATATAAAAATATTGACGCATGTAATAAATAACGTAACGGAAAACATTAATTGAGGTAGCGTAGAAAATGGGATATGTATATCGGTGGGTCAAACTGTCAAAGTAGATAATGGCGACGATAAAGATAGAGATAGTGGTAAAGATAAATATGTAGGTAGTAATTGTAACGCACAAGTTAGTATGAGCACGATAAAGATAGTGATAGTGGTATAGATAAATATGTAGGTATTAGTTATAACGCACAAGTACTAATTAATATGAGCAGATAAGTCATTCGTGGCGAGAAAGTTTGTTAGTAATAATGACAAGTTTGAAAGTCATATGCTTAGCATCTCGTACAATATGTGGTATAAAAGTTCGTTAATAATAATGATAAGTTTGAAATTTATATGATTATAGTGAACATTTGATAATAATAATGACAAATTTAAAATTAATGTGGTGAATTTTTTCTAAGCACGGAACACGCACAGTAATTTATTCCTCTATTATTTTATCGAATCTAGGTGTGAAAGCCTGAGGACTAAGGAAATTTCTTATTTTGTGGACAAGTTTAAAATCAATTTGATTAGCATTAAGCATTCAATACAGTTGTGTCCGTTCATGTTCTGTACACTTGACTAAAATATATATATTATTTACAAACATATTTATAAAACATTTTTTTTATGTTATCATATTACAAGGTATTTGGCATGTTTATAAAATATCATAACAGAACTCAATATTACATTTCAAATATCAGCTAAGACACAATGAAGTTTCAATCCAAGTTAAACTAGCTTTACAAGATTAACAATGCCAGTATTGTCTAAAACCCCAAAACAAAGCACAATGAAGAAGTTGCACCTTGGTGGCTTTGTATGGTTTTTTAAAAAGATTGTGTCAGTTGCAATAAAATATCGTCGTCCTGTACCGCATTTCAACTCTCCTAGCACCTAATCTCGTAAGAACCAGCTTTAGTAATATAACGCACCCACTCGACTGTGTTATAGCCGCTCTTCTCCCACACCTACAGAGGAAACAGAACGCATTATCCAGAAAGGAAGGGTGCATGTTACGCTAAGAAGGAATTTGATAGGTTTGCCAACTATACCTTGAGGAAACGAACACGTAATCCAGAGGCTGTAAACATGGGAACCTGCAAAGAACGGAGTTTTAGTTGTTGCTTCTCCAAGAAAGGGTTCACAGTTTTGTACTGTGCTTAGAATTTTGAGTTCATAGCAAGTAATGATTTAAGGATAGTTCTGAGATGTATGGATATTCACCTGAAATTCCATCTGAATTGGAGGTCGAGTCCAGGATTTCTTCTCTGTAATCGTTGAAATCAACTCCACCTCTGCACTTAATGTTGGTTCAGTCTGTCCAGGAAATTTTCGTATCCTGCACCAGAAGGCACATTTATAAGTCGGTAACAACGATAATCTAAGTAATGTTGTGGAAAGTGGAATACTGCGGCATTCCTCTTCAAAGGTATAAAATCAACCCACAACTGAACCATAATAGCAAAGAATCTTACCAAACTATGCTGAATCATTACATTTACTTACTAAGGTGTGTTATTTTAGAAACAAAAATATAGACTTTGGATCATGAATTAGATTTGAATTCCTGAAAGGGGGTATGAGATATCTCCCTTTTTTGGCATTTTAACATTGTTTTTTCCTTTTAAGCTACTGGCATAAGCAAAAGGAAAGCAAGAAAAACTATATTCCTGTTTATGAAGTCAGACATGCCTCACTGCAAATTATGAAACTACACTTGGCTTTTTTGCACATATGCTGATATGCAAGCACACTCACACCCGGTAGTAATATAATAGGGGGCAAACCCAACCAAGTTGGTCGGGAGCAGACTATCAGCCTATTTGCCTTCTTGGTTTGAGCCGGTTAGCTATAGGCAACTTAGTCTGGTTTACCCTTTGTGATCCTTTGCCGGCTAGGGTCACAAGGGTAGTGGCTGCGAGTTTCCCTCGCCACCCCCAAAAAAAGAAAATATTGAGGTTATAATTGATACAGGAGAGATAATTGACAGAAGTGGAAGTGTCTTTAGAAGTTGTTACTGAGGCCAGATACAACATGAAACAGCCCTTAACCCATGTTGGGTGTGTCAACAACACTACTGATATGCATCAAATCAAGTATTCAAGTTTAGAACTATCAGAGATATCTCAACCTGGTAGAGACATGGAAAGTCCGGCTTTCTAAAAACAGGTTCTAATCAAGGATGTCCAATAATGATGTTAAAAAAGAGAAGAAACATTGACAACAATAAAGAAACTCACTTCCAGACCAAACAGTCAATGGAGGGATTGTACTTTGCTTTTCCTGATGTCACCTGGAAATTTGTTTTTGCTGTTTGCTTTGGTACTGGAATTTTAATGACAACACCAAGTGCAAACATCTTTGCTCCAAAAACACTCTTAACCTGATAATATATTTATTTATGTGGGCGAGAGAGAGAGTAGAAAAAATTAAAGATTATATCAAATGTCAAATGATATATGCTGCCACATTCCAAGAAAATGATGACAAAGTGACAAACCTTCACATTAACTTCCATGCGTGTGCGACCCAACTCCTTGATAGTTGGTAATACACGGAATGGAAGATTCACACCTTCAGTAATTCGATACCTGTAAAGAAAGACATCAGAACACTAGTGCTTTAAGAAATCACAACGAAACAAATTTAGAATTGAGAGCTTCTGTCTGCGTTTGCCAAGAGCACAAGCCACATGACAATGGAACCACCACCAAATCTAATCTCATATTATTTAATTATTTGATAAATTAGTACTTTGTGAAAAACTCCACAATTTATTTCTAAAAGTAGCTAAAACTCATATTCAATCCAATTCAACACCAAAGTGACTAAAAATGACAATTTTACAAAGATCTGCATTGTACTGTTCTAAAAATGAGTACCAATTTAGCCCACTTGCTTGATCCCAATTTCCACAACCCCCCACACCCACACTAGCAGACAGGGTAGTTTATTACTCCTAAGGATAACAGAGAACATATATTCAAATAATTGCAACTTACTTCATCAGTTCAAATTCACCATCAGGAGGAACAAAGCTTACAGTCTTCTCTGAATTAAATCGTGTCAAGTTTACACATTGGTGGAAAGTAACATCATCAAGCTCAATAGTTTTTCCACTGCATGAGGCAATATTGTTTATTAGCAAGAAAATATGATAACCAATTAAGCAGAGGCCAAAGGCCTAAAATATGATAATAGTGGAGAATTTGAGAGACTTGGCACAAGAACTGAGGAACACAATATGAAAAAATTATTTAATTTTTTTTTTTTAAAGGTGAGCCTGTATAAATTACCTCTTACTAGGGCGGGACTTGAGCTGTGACTCTTTTTCAAGGCCAATTTTATCATTCAAGCCCAACTTCAGATCAGGCATCCCAGAAAGGAAGCATTTCATGAGAATTTTTCCAGTAACATCACAACGCAAAACACTACCTACAAATTAAAACCTCTTGTCAAAAGCCAGAAACAAAAAGCACTGAGTCACTGAGCTAGAGGAGTTACAGAGTAATTTTCTGTTTACCTTTAGAAGACATGAGAAGATTGACACTTTCCACAATATCCAGAAACACCTGCCAACAGTAACCATGATACTAGAATTATTTCTTGTTCTGGGGGTAAAGCAATTAAATAAAGTTCTAAAAAGAAAATGTAAAGTCCACCTCGTTCTTCTTGTATACAAGACCCTCTCTTCTCCAGCCAACAGCACCAGTGACTTGTAATGTAGCATTAGGGACAGGTCTATCAACAGCCTGTTAGGTTTGTTTGTTAAAAAAATTTCACAATAGTACAACATCCCAAAAATATTCATTTTTTCATTGGCAAACTAACAAACTATCACAGTCATTTCAGCTATCAAATATTTTCATTCATATAAATAAAAGAAAAGTGTAAATAAAATAACAAACCTTAGATGAAAATGGGGACCGCACACCTTCCTGTGTGATGTAGAGCTTCAAAATTTCAGGCGAAAGGTTCTGGGGGTAACCGAAGTCCATTATTTCTGCAAATAATAGTACCAATTTCAGGAAAATATTTAATCAGTCTTTCCTAAAGTGAAGTTGCTTATGAGGAAAATCAACTATTTTCTATTTAGACATATTCATCTTTCCAGTTCACAAGTATGGTCAAGTGAGATTATTCCAATGGTAACAAAATCCTTGAGGCTTGATATGAATCAATTCATTACCTATTAGATCACAATAGCATGGCAGATTGCCAAGTACTAGATGCAGTAAATACGAGAGCAGTAATGAAGTCACTAATTAAAGCACAAAAAGGGCATATATGACCATAATTGCTAAACAAAACCTTTATATGTTTCACTCAGATGAAAATGTCCAAACATATATGAGATTCCAAATGGCATACCATCCAATAGTTCATAGATTAAAACAAAATTATTGCGAATAGCATCTTCATCGAAAGCTCCACCAAAATATGATTTGAACAGGGAAACTGCCTGCACAAAATTTAGATAGAACATAAGTCAAACACTCAAATATGATGTTGATGAATACAACTTCCCTCTATTTACATTTACCATAAAAACCTCATGACCATTAACCATGTAATCACTCCGACAAGCATAAGTTTGCAATACCTCAACCTAGGAAAACTAGAATAATACATGCAGGCATCCTGTTCAGATTTACAACATAGTGTATAGTTCAATTTAATTAGAAACTCTATCACATGATGTTTATAGTGAAAAAAAAAATTCTAGTATGAATTGGTGCACACTTTTCACACCATTTTATAAGAGATACAACATTACATTATTAGTGTCAAAATGCTAGGGTTTGAAAGTTCTCTAAATAGCATATCCATGCAAGCTGGCATAGTTGATAGCCAATGTAATCTCCTCTGAGTGATAGCATTCTAGTTCAATCTACCAAAAATAACTTAGAAATTAGATAAGCAAGCAGAACATCCTAAAAGCATAAGCATCAAGTAGCGGCTACTTTACTTACCTCAACAACAAACTTGAATGCACAAGCAGCATTAGCATTACTGCTGACAACAATCACAATATAGACATTGCTAATTCTCATATACAAGAAAGAGCAGCCTCCTATCTGACGTACAGGACAAGTTCCAAGCTCTTTTGTCTGCATTATTTGCATTCGGAAGGCATCCACCATATTACCCCTGATTAATTCAAACAAACATACAGTGTAAAAATCACAGGTTATGGTGAAACAGAGAAGTAGACTATTCGTTAAGAACCATCACTCATCTTCTCAAATTCCGACTTCACTTTCAGTTAAAACATATTCACCCACTTTATTTCATCAAACCATTATTTCATCAAGCCATCAATATTAAAACTGAGACACGTATTGGTTGTTTCAGAAATCAGCTCTCATCCCAACTGATCCTCTCAATATTAAAACTGAGAGAAGGATCTACATGTCTATAACCAAGCAGAAATGCACAACTAAGGCAAATTGAAGAATGATTCTTCCTTTCATCCTCATACAAACAACTATTGAGTATCTCACTATCAGCATTCAGCACTTTTATATGCTATTTTCTCCTGAATTCCCCAAACAACAATCAGAACTATTGTTTTTTTTTTTTACATTAGAAATATCGCACACAGCTACGATGGACGGAAGGAGGAGACAGAGAGCATACCCGACGTCGTCACGGTAGAGGCGATTGATGAGGACATCGCCTCGGAGATTCAGAAAGTATATAGCTGAAGCTGCCACGGGCATGGCTGCAGCTCAGCGGATCCGGTATCGGAACAGCAACCACCAAATCGGAAGAACCTCGAACGGGGCGGATTCAACCCAAGCGAGATCTAGGGCTTACAGTGTGGACCTGATAACATAGAGAAAACAAAAAATCAGAAATGGTGTGAAAAATTCTTCCACAGGCGTTGCCTGCTCAGTTCCCGGTCAGCCTACCTCTCTTCCGCCGCTGTAATGCTGCACTCTACGGAGTAATTCCTAGACCGAGGGACAAAAAGACGCCGCCGGCGAGACTTGCAAATCGCCTTCTCGTCGGTTTTCCAGCTAGAGATTGCAACTGTCTGGCACTAATTATGCTTGCCCGGTGCACCTCAACAGTCAGCACCTGTAACCCAGCTTGGTCGGTCAATTGCGCGAGTCTTTTTAACGTGATTTATTTATTTTTGGAAAAATGATCAAATATAGAATCATAAGCATTACTCAATAAGTCAATTAGACTTTTAAATTTTTAAATGTTATAAATAAGTCTTTAAACTTATTATTTTAGAACGGAATAAAGGTCAAATAGACCCTCCAATTGTATATTAAAGTGCAATTAACCTCTCGAACTAAAAAAATTTTCAATTAAACCCTTAAACTAGTTGAAATAGTGCAATTAACATATTTGACCTATAATAGCATGTTACCTTCAAGTCACCTGCCACGTAAGATTCCACCTAAGATGTCACGTCAATTAATATTTTAAATTTATTTTTTTAAGTAAATTAATTATATTATAAAATATATATATATTTAAAAAAAAAAAACGCCATAGCAGGCAGGCAGCTTGCCCAGCCTGCTGCCATGGCTTCTCCATGAACGGAGCTTACAGAGAAGCTCCGTTCATGGAGAAGCCAGCAAGCTTCTCCGTCCAGATTTGGACGGAGAAGCTCGTTGGCTTTTCCATGAACGGAGAAGAGAAGTCAGCGAGCTTCTTGTTTAATATAACAGATGGATAGGCGGAGTAGTCAAACAGACGAATATCTACGAACGGACGAATGAGTTTGATCGGAAAAGTCAGACGGACGGACGGAGTAATCGAACGGAATGGACGAATTCATCCACCGCCGGCAACTACGAACGGAAGAATCCGGTGACATGCAATATGTGAATCCGACAACTTTTATTTAAGCTTTTTTAAAAAAAAATAAAAATAAATGAAATTCCACATAATTGCCAAGCAAGCAAAATTAACTTGTTACTTTTTGATAACTTGTTAAAAATGGTAATTGCACATTTTTAACAAGTTAAAGGGTTTAATTGAAGGTTTGTTTAGTTCAAGGGGCTAATATATAGTTGGAGGGTCTATTTGACCCTTTTCCCTTTTAGAACATTAAGGCCTAAAAATCTTGGTGACCTGTAATTACAGGTCTTTAGGGTTCTGGTGAACCTCTAGTTAGATTTCGACCATATTTCAGTAAAAAATGCGAGTGAAACAATCACCGATGTCGTTTGGTTGCCTTCTCCCTTAGATCATGGTATCTAATTCCATGAATCCTAAAATGTCAAATATGCCATGATAATAAAAGACACGTTATAACTAAGTAACCCTACTTCGTAGAGGAGTATGCATGTAGTAGAGTTGAACCGATGTAACTACCCATATTCAAATAGTTCGAGTACTATATTAGATGATCTTATTTAGAGCAAAAGTATAATGAATACAAATATATAGTTATCGTATAAATAATAATATCTTATTATGTGATCATTATCTTATGTTATAATAACAATAATAATAATTTTTCTATTCCTTGGATCATGGTATCTAATTCTATGAATCCTAAAAAGTCAAATATGTCATGATAATAACTTGTAGGGAAATGGATGTATCCTCACGTGAACATATATAACAATATACGATAAAGTGAACGAATAAAACAATATATACAGAGAGAAAACATCAAAATTCTTTATTAATCATCCTTCAATCGCAATATATACCAGATATATAGAGTTATAGTATAACTACAATATAATAAAGGATGAAGAAGTATTATCATAGACTCATAATATAATAACATCCACATATATTTATTTACAACAAGACTCACTTTATTATTATTTTGTCGACAAATAAAACTCCTTCATTCAATTAGCTTCCAAAATCAAAGCATCGAAAATAAAAGAGAGTGAGAGACCCGGCCACTCCCTATGACTAGATATAGAAAGGGATTTCCGATCAAGCTCACAAGTGGGCGATCTTATTCGTTGATTGCTTAGCAAACGAGATAAAAACATTAGGTAATTCTACTAACACGTTTTTTACATCTTATAACATTAAATCAAAGCTTGAGAGTTAGATTAGTGTATTGTAATCCGTGAATGAAAGATAAGACATCAACTTTAATATGGACTGTTTAACATAGACATGTTGTTTCAGCATCTAATTGCTTCTCAAAGCACCATAGGTTTCGTTTCCTTCACCGTGAATACACCCCTATAGGGCATGGAAGTAGTTGCTACAAATTCACCATTGACATTTGGCATCCCTAAGGATCCAACCGAAACTCATCCTTTGTCCTTCAACATCCCCATTCAATTTCATCCACCCGGTATTTGATTTGAATCCATCTATCAATAAAATGCAAATTTAGATCTTCATTGTTGTCATTATTTTCATTAACCATTTTTCACTCATTGAGATAAGCTTTTGATTTTCCCACAACAGTCCTGAGACACATTAGAGTATGGTTCCATATCATCTCATTTCAAGAATGCCAACAAAACTAGCAAATCATCATAAATAAATTGCATTGGTCCTTTGACAAGTTTTTGAATATTTGAATCACACCCTCAACAAAAACAATTCTGAACCCCGTGATTGAAATATGAAACAGCCACTGAACATTCCAATAATACATGATTGGCAATTTTCATATGAGAATCACATATATAGAGCATATAAACTACTACAATTCACTCCTTTTCTAATGAGAATATCATATCAGCAGGAGGTAAACTTAATTAAGGAACATGCTTGCCACATAAAGATTTTAACCCTAGGAAGAACCTTAATCTTTCGTAGAATGGCCCATTCCTTTTTTGTTCTCATCACCTTCTTCCCCTATAATTGCTCTATAACATTTTTTTTTTTTACAATAAACATTCACATCTCTTTCGATTCTCATATCAACTTATTAACTTTTCTAGACTTAGGGAGAGGAGTGATTGTGATCACCTGAGTATCTCTAGGGTTGAATATATCCTTTATGACATCAATATCTCACTCTTGGATTTGATTAAGCATAAGTGAATAGATAGTAGCCACCTTTATTAAAAAGAAAAAAAAGAAAAAAAAAAACTTATGTAAGTATTGGATTAACTTTATTTGGGGGCCAATTATCTCTCCAAATATTAATACTTTGGTCATTGCCAATTCTCCATTTACTATGCCTTCTCAAAATATCTTGAGTGACTTGCAAACTGCTCCATATAAAAGAAGGATTAGTACCGCAGGCTTCAAGAAAGGTGAAAATTGGGTAATACTTAGCTTTGATAGCTCTGGCAACCAGTGAAGAATGAAATTGGATCAATCTACAAGCTTGTTTACACAGTAACATGACATTAAATCACCTAACTTTCTTTAATTGAGTAACCCTAATTCGTAAAGGAGTGGACATGCAATCAGAATAATTGAAATGACGTAACTACCTCAATTCAAATAATTGTTGGAAAAATTAGCTTAAAATGGCATAAAATGACATATTAAGTGGCTATTTTGTGGTACAATTATCAGTGGGGTCCACTTTCGATTTGGGTCGGGTCAAAGTGGATTCGGATTCTTCGTAGTAAGAAGAAGAGATTGATATATTGTACGCTCAAAACGGATAATGGGTGAATGAGATATTGATTCTCAAAGTAGACCCATTTAAGTTAGGAAATGAAGGGAAAATGTAGGACTTTGTCCCACATTGGTTTGGAAACAAGATTTGTCCCCCTTATATACATGAGCTATTTTCAAGCTTGTAGAATTGTATAGCATAGAGGCTCTCTCGCGCGCGCGCGGGGGGGGGGGGGGGGGAAATCAAAATCCAACTAGAAGACATCAAAAAGGCTTGAAATCAAGCCCGAGCGGGCACGGATGTCGTCCGGAAGCCTTACGGGCTAAGTTATGCCTATGGCACCTACTCTCGTGCAACTGTGACCACGAGAGTAGTGCACTCTCGGGTTGCACCCCAACGGGAAATTCAGCCTGTTGCACCTAAGCCCGAGGCTCGCGTGCGCGGGCACGGATGTCGTCCGGAAATGGGCTGGCCTTACGGGCTAAGTTATGCCTAACTTCGGTATGGCACCTACTCTCATCTGTTACGGAATTAATACTGTTTTAATTCTAATTTTTTAATTTTGAGTTTAATCCTACTTAGTGGTGACCGTTACAGGTGTTACACAATTGGTGTTAACATCCCTATATAAAGAGAGATAGAAGCAGTAGCATTTTATATAGTGAGAAACAAAGGAATTCCAGTAACTTAGGTAGAAGCAGTAGCATTTTATATAGTGAGAAACAAAGGAATTCCAGTAACTTTTCATCTCAAAACTTCTGCTTCTACTCTCTTCTTTCAGCCAATCTGTGTTCCAGCTTTGCTTTGTTTGTCGGGCTCTTTGTTTAGGTGCTTAAACAGAGAGTCGTAGCACGTTTTATCCTGGGAAACCTAGGCTACAACGCTCCTAGCACTTGTGGGAGGTAGCAAATAAGGTTTTAAGGAAAAGAAACTTGTGTTCGAACTCGTGCTAAATCCTTTACCCAAACACTCAACCTTTTCCTTCCCTGTCTTTCTATTTTCCCATATAATATTAATCCTTCCGTAGAATTATTATTATTTTGGGATTTTACAACCATATTACCCAACAATAATGTCAAGACCTATATTATAAGATCTTATTTATAGCAAAAGTATAATGGATACAAAAATTTAATTATCATATAAATAATATCTTATTATGTGATTTGCTATCTTGTTCTTTTATAATAATATATTTTTCCATATTCCTTGGATCATGATATATAATACAATGAATCATTGAATCCTAAAATGCCAAATATGTCATGATAACAAAAGACGAATAATGATTGTGTAGTTCATGGTTCACACAAGTGCGTGAATTATATTTGATATAATATAAAATAACGTATATTTAGTATACAAATAATATATATTTAGTATATTAAATATAAAGTACATTATTTAAAATAATGTACAAGGGAAAATAACACTTTTTCCCTTTAAGTTATATACTTATAGCACTTTTTCCCCCTCAATTATTTAAGTGGCTCTTTTTTCCCCCTGAAATGTTAAATGGACATATTTACCCTTAAAATAAATATTTCATTTATTTTTATTTTCCAACAAATTATTACTATAATTTGGTTCAAACCGAACAGATACTATAGCAACCAAACCAAAATATTCCAATTACAATTTATAATCAAAACGCGATATTTAGAGTTTATTAAAATCGCGAACCGGAATGACCGGTTCATATTCCAAACTGAAAAAATAAAATACATTTATTGTTGAATTTAGACTATTTTAAAATAAAAAATAAAATTTTAAAATAAAGACGGTTCAAAATCGCGAACTGGATCCAGAACTGCCGTTTCACGGTTCATAATCCAGTTTTTTTTTTTTTTTTTAAATTCTTAAATTTAATAAATTGAAATCAAAATATTGGGTTCTAGATCTGAATCATAACTGAAAATTTTTAATTCGATTGCTATAGTGTCTGGTTCAGTTCGAACCGAACCGTGGTAATCGCTACATATACGCAATAATTTGTTGGAGAAGTAAAATAAATAAAATGTTTACTTTAAGGGTAGAAATGTCAATTTAATATATTTGGAGAAAAAACCACCACTTTTAAAATAATTGAGGAGGCTAATGTGCTTACATAAATAATTGGGGGGGGGGGGGAAAGTGCTATAAGTATATAACTTAGAGGAAAAAAGTGCCATTTTCCCTATTAAAAATGTATTTTCTTTTATGGTTCATATAACACTATGTGGACCATGTTCCACACAATAATTTGCCACAAATGACTCGCTTTAACTGAGTCGGGACTCGGGGTTGGTGCCAGAACTCGCTAACTCAGTACTCACCATCATTATTCATTACACCATCCGTGTAGACTTCGGCTAATATAAAACCATTCGCCGTTAAATCTCATCTGCATTTTCATTCTTATTAAGGAAAGAGATTACTGATTTCTTTTTTCCGGTACCTATCTCCGGCAGTATACAACACGTCGACGACGGCGGCAGACGGCTTCAGTCTGTCTCCGATTCTCTAATCTCCGTCTGTTATTAGTTTCTGCTATATCTAGCCTGGCCGATATACATGTGTAGAGAGAGATGGGGCTGTTCAGGAGGCTCGCTGGAATTCTAGGGTTTTCGAGGGAAGAAGGTCAGGAAGTGCACGAAGAAAACGGAGACGCTGATGCGAATCTAGCGTCGTCTTCGGCAGTGGCGGCGGCGGTGGCAGCGGCTCAAGCTCGGCACCTGCATCGCAAAGGCTTCAGTGTCCCAATTCAAGTGCAAGTCGATAGACCTACGCCTGGACCTGTCCTTCTCCCCTGCAATTCCGGCGACGGAGGCGTTCAGGTAAAATTAGATAGATCAATCGATCCTTTTCTTAGAAAAAGGAAATGTGCCTTTTTGATGTCCGGTTTGGTTGCATATAGTTATTATTATGTTTGTATTAGTGCATTAGGGAGTACTTTATTAACTCTAATCCTGTTGCATACAGTATCCCTGCAAAATAATTGGTTATTCAGTGTATTTGATCATGTTTTTCCTTTATGCTTGGCTTTCATGATCATTCTTTTTGCTTGAAGAATTGAATTTTAGCTTGAGCATAATCCATGTAAATATGTAATTCAAATTTACAAATGTAAGTCGAATGTATTAGGAAGTATTATTTAGCTAAATTTAAGATCCTGCTAAATTATATAATTGGACAACATTTTGAAATGATAATGTCTTCAGTGTTTTAAAATCAATCTTTTGCAAATTTGCTGAAATGTTTGTGGCGTTGACTCGTTGATCTTGAGTTATAAACTCCCGGCAAATTTTTTTTAGTTGTTCTACCGTGTCTCACATGGCTTCCAGAAATACCATTTACAGTAGCAATGTAGATTTCATGCCTTCACTGGATGACATGGGTAAAAGAAATCTGAAATCAATTTCCCTGAATTCTGGATTCTTTAAGGGGAGACAAACATCCTTAAATTTGGTGCGTAGCTGAATATAAAGTCATGATTCTGCATTGCCCTCATTTCTTCATGGAAATCAAGTAATAGCTATAATATGAAGGTTCATGATCTTTATAATGTCATTATAAGAACATGGAAGATAGAACCCTGGATAGAAGATAGATAAGTAGATATGATATACTTTGTAATAAGAAGGAAGTGATAGTTACAAATAGTGCTAGAACCATGGAATTCACTGACGGGCAAATGTAGGCTTGTATCGAATAATACTATAATAGTTAGGTTTAGGGCACTATATGTTTTGGTAAAGGTATTTGTGAGATATATGTTCCTAACTTCTAGCACTAATGGAGTTCTCAATTTTGGAGATGAAGATGATGAGGCTCATGGCTAAAAAAATGAAGCAATTTCTTTTCTGTAAACCAATTCTTGCCCTTATTTTGGAGCTTTTACTGTTAACCCACTTAATTTTTATTATTATTATTATTATTATTATTTAATAAAAAGCTTGCTCCAGTGTTGCCTTTTGCTCTTGCTTTGGCCCAGAAGCTCAGTTAAGTGTGCTCAGTTTATCATTTTCTGGTGCTTTGCTTGAGCGAAGTGCAGCCCATCAATCACCTTTCTTTTTTGCTCTAAGCAAACACTTTTGACAAATTAGGAGATACCAGTGCCACATTCTACTATCTGTATTCTTCTTTAAGAGTTTTTTGCATTTTATTAATTCGACTATGTTGTTTATACAAATTAGGGCAAAACATGTACTGCACATGTTAAATATGTTTAATAGATGCTCCGTATTAAAATCTAGTGATCATGTATGATGAGGTTCTTACATCACAAATGTTTTTTTTTTTTTTTGATAATATGAATGATGAAACTTACTGACAATTTCATCCATTATAGCTGAGTTCATCTAGTCACACTAGTCGTAGATTCACTAGATTGGTATATGCAGTTCTATTAATGTTATGTTTCATTGACCCCATAAATATTTTCTCTACATATCTCTTGGCGTAGGGCTTGAGATGGTATGCCAAGCGTCTCAGGGTTGATGAAGATGGAGATGTGGCAGATGAGTTCATTAGCGAGGTTTTGCCTGAGAAGCTTAGCATCGAAGAGCAGAATAGAAAAATCCCGAGGTTTGAAGTGAAATACCAGACTAGGCCGGCTAAGATAAGGAACCAGGTACTCTCATCTGCTGGTAAAATTCAACTTTGTGTTGAGCATCAAGGCCGACTAGAGATCTGAAGAACTTGTACTGAGAAACTTGCAATGGGTCTCTGCAGTCGCTTATATCTGGAACTGTCTGTTTTGTAAAAGGGTGAATCCTTCAAAAGAATTGAGCTGGTGTTTGAACATGAAAACCTTTTCATTGAACAGCACAATTGTACTCTTGAAAACTTCCAATGTATACAAAGCTACAGATTTGTTTACTAGTGATGTTGTGTTTTGGACTGTTTGTTACCCATTACATATATTCGATTTGATTTACGGGAAAGCCCATCACTGTTACCGAAAGTTTATTTTGGGTGAAACTCGCATTATGACTCTAGCCAGTAAAGAATCATAAGGAAGTAAATCAACCTAAGTTGCCCTGTCAAATGAATGGTAAAAGCTTCTTTTCTATGAACCAAAACTACAATGTTTTATAGTACTCTCAAGTGAGAAACATTAATGATTTCATGATTTCTTGCTACATGCACATCCTCATCTTGCAACTCGACTGAAGCCGAAAACCATCCAAAAGATCTCCACCACAAACAGCAATGGAGATCCGAGAACCTCCATAGATCAACGGCCGAGAAGCGTTATGCCCACAGCAACGTCACCATGAGAAATACTATCACAGCCAACGCAAAGCAAAACCCAACGACAGCCATGAAAGCCTGAAAAATAAAACGGCCGATACAACAGATTAGGGAAAGCGTGTGGTATTCATAACGAATAAAACTGCAGTTTAGGAACTCTAAATTCATTAACCTTCCCTTGTGACTTAAACCCAAACTTGGCGGTAAACCACGCCAATCCCCTGTCCACAAACGGAGCAAGAGCTAACGCCCTGCAGTAAAGCGCGAGTCCAAAGTCAACCTTCAAACAGAGCCAGCAAGCAGTCTATACTCTAATGGATAAGTTAACACTTTCTGAAAGGCACATTTTTTGGGAATTTCTAAGAATTGTATATATTTTTTGGGAATTTCTAAGGTGTCGATCAGTATCATACCGATTTGTACCGTTAAAACCATCCATGGTATGCCTGGTTGGACTATATACTGCGGGAACAAGTGTTGACAGTACTTGGTACACCCAAAATAGCAATACAAAGTTGTACCCAGTATAGATCGACACCGTGCTGATTAGCACTTTATACTCTAAAAAGTATAAAAAGTTTAAAACTTTTTCAATATATGTTTAAAAAATCTCTAGGTGCCTTGAAAAAAGGTGAAAATAATTTAAATTACTGTAGAACGAGGACAAGAATCATAATCCACTGCTAATTATGAAAAAGTTCAATAGCTCACCCTCCTGCTCTAGCAAGTTTGGTGACTTGGCTACCGGCCCACACCATAGCCAATATTTTAAAGAATCTGCACAAGACACGTTACTAGTTAGATCTCTTGTAGGTAATGTAAATGTTGAAAAACAAAACAAAAAAAGCGAAACAATTGCCTTTTAACAGTAGCCAAATAGCCCATTTTGACAGGTGCAGGAGCGACATAAATCCTAAAAGGATAGCAAAATCAACGAGTCTCAAATAGATGTTTGTTATAATGGATCGGTGGATTATAGATTTTCACAGAAAAACGGAGATAAGCATAATCTTTCCATTTATTTGCATTGGTCATACACTCATACCACACCACGAGGAATGTCGTAAGATAGTAGGCAGTATTCAGTAGCCCGTATGATAATACTCCTGAAATGCCGTATCTTCTCAATTTCTTCACAATCCTGAGAAGCGTAATAGACAACGATTATATCTCAAGTATGTAACTTACAAAGGATTGCGAGAAACATTACATACTCTTTAACTGAAAGCGATCCTCCAAGATTATTTCCGGCATCTGCTGCACCTGAGAAATACATAAAGAAGGTTAATTAGCTTTTTACAGCTCCAAAAGGCTAAAATTGAAAAAGCTACTCCAAACAACTTTTTCAATTAGCTTTTTGATAAAAGAAATTATACCAAACAGCTAACAGGTAATTTACCAAACACTTTTCTACAATCAGCTAATGTTATCAACTATTTATACCCTCTAATTAACACAATCAGCTAACAACTAACAGCCATTTTACCAAACAGGGCCATATCTTTAAGGTTTAGTAGAAGTCGTCAATGTGAAAATACGCATCACTATCATCCCGTGAATATTCCCACTCAAATACCTTCCTGTTCTTGCAAGCTATGCTGAGATTCTGGCGGTCCATTAGCCTTACCTTGCATAATAAGAGATACGTTAGCCGTGTTAAAACATACAAGAAGCTATAGAAGAAGAGAAAATCTTGAAACGAAACAAATTTAGAACATCTTAATGACAGAGAAGCTCTCCAGGATCATAATCAAGGATCCTAGCTATTCTCTTATACAACATCTCGACAGTCTATTCGACCAATACATCTAAACATCCAATCCAAAATCAAATGGGAACAAGCCGAAAAACCTGTGATTTTGATTAATTATCTCGTGTTCTTATCCGAAGGCAATGTGGGTAGTTTTTACACTTATCAAACTCCAACAATTTAGCTTCCTTGATGTTATCATCATACTATAAAGTATAAACCACAGCTGCATTGATCATATGCCCAGTTCATAACTTCATATTCAATTACAAATAAGCAAATCAAAGACATTTCACCAATAACAAAACCCAAAAGTTGGTATTAACAAAATCTACAAATGAAATCGACCCTCAAAACAATAACTCAAGAACAACCAAAAAGTTGAGAACTTTACATTGTTATCACTGTCGACGGAGCAGCGAAGCCGCGGCGGATGATTCCCATACAACAGCTTCTTCCGGCGAGCGTCGACTGCGCCGGGAATGCCATCTTTCTGAGCATGTAATTCCAATGAAAGACTATTTACTATCTTGTAACAAAAATACTGCGAAAATTAAACAGAAAAGGAAACAAGATAATTGCATAGCAGGGAAGAGAGTCTTGCCTGGTTACGAGGAAGAAGAAGGAGATGAGGAGAAGCTGCATACCGGAGCGGTGACCGTGGCGCCGTGAGCCACGGAGCTGAAGACATGAATCCCAATTCAAGAAAAAAAAAAAAAATCAATCTTTTTAGCAGAGTTTATTTCTATTTTCTACTGGCACAAGAGTTGTTAGGTTATAAATATTTCTACTGGCACAAGAGTTGTTAGGTTTAAATTTATAAGTACAACAAACTTCGTACCAGGAATTAGAACATGATTATTGTATTTAGAATTCTCTCTTGTTTGTTTTTAATCAATATGATTAGTGTGGTGGTTCAGCACATTGTCCCTTATATTATCGTTTTTAGGTTAAAAGTAACTTCTTTTCATCATAAATGGAGGTGAATTATAGACAGTTATAACCTATAATACAAAAACTCGTTAATCCATGTCAATGTCAATTGATAATACGACTTTGCATAACAAATGACACGCTTTTGTCCAAGTATCGTCACGACTTCTTAATACTGTTCAATTTGATGTTGATTTTATATTATCTTTTTAGTGCACGTAACATAACGCATGTCTCAAACATAATTATTTTGCTATATCTATAACTAGCGGAGTGACATTACCGGGTTGGACTTCCATTTGGAAGGTTGTGAGTTCGAGTTTCAGTGGAGGCGTTATTGGTTCTTTGTGTTTCAGTAGGTTAATAAAGTTTATTAAACAGATACTATAAAACTAGCGGAGTTATTTGAATCAAACTTTTTTATTTTTAAAATAATAAATTTGAAGTATTGAATTATCATTTCTAGTTATATATTTATGTTACTTAGAAATAGCAAACCATAAGTAATATCAACAAGCCCAATAGGAGACAAGGTCCATTTTCACTCCCCAGACAGGCCCAAATGAACCCAAGCCCATCAAGCCCAACTATCCTTCCGTAAAACACGTAACGGACAGTGCGAATGTGCGATTATTGACAATCGGAATCCAACTTTCATTTTACTCTCTCTCGCGCTCTTTCTCTCTCAGTTTTCGTTTCTTCTCAGTAGCTATCTTCTGCTCTCACCGGCGATATATGTAAGTTGATCTCCGTTTCTATGTGATCATCTCATTTCTGAATTCTGAATAGTTCTATGCGATTCATTCGAAGATTAGAGTAGAAAACGTATAAATTCGTGTAAATTGAGTTTGTTTTTGTTGGTTAGTTTTGTGTTTGTTCAGTTTTCGCTTTGAATTTTCAGTCTGTATCTAGAATCGGAATGGGGTGTAAAAGAGAGAAGCATATCAGTGCCAATCGGAGGAACCGATCGGCGAAACCCGAACCGGAGGAAGGGAGCAGCAATAACAACACAGGCAATGCTGTAGAAAGGGCTCCGCTATCTAAGTCCATCATGGAATCCGGGATCAAGCCTTTGAGTTGTTTTATGGGAGGTCATGATTCTGCCCAGAACACAAACCCTAGCCTGACTCCCAGCGTTGGGCTTGATAGCAGTGGGTGGGGTTACTGTGCCGGGGAAGGTTGAATGCCCGAAGAAGTTCAATTTTAGTCCTGTAATGAAATCACTCTTGAAGAGGAATGTTGCAACTTTGGATGCTGGATTTAGGTTAAGCTACATGAGAAATATACAAAATCAGTCAGAGGCAACCTCAAGCCTTTTGCCTTCTGTGTATTCCGAATCCCAGAATTCAGAAAACCAAGATGTTGTCAACGATGTGTTAAGTAGATTTCCTTATTTACATCTTGATGAGCGTACAGAGCATGGGGATGGGCATCCCCAGATGGATAAAGACGATGAAAGTATTGTGAGTTTGATCCATCAAATCAAGGATCTTGAGAGGCAGAGAAAGGAGCAGGAGGAATGGGCACATCAAAAAACAGTTCAAGCTGCAAGAAAATTAATGGATGACTTAACTGAGCTTGAGATGCTGAGGATGGAATTGGAGGAGACCCAAAGTCTGAAGAAGGGTAAGCATACCATCGAGGACAAGCTCACAGAAGTGGAGAGTGTTCTCCGTAAAGCAAGTTGTGAAGTGGACCGTGTCAAATCTGCTGTGAGAAAGCATGAGACTGAGAATGCAGAAATTAAAGCAGAAATCGAAGCATGTAAACTGAGTGCATCAGAATCTGCAGCAGCTTCTATGGAGGCTGCGAAGAGGGAGAAGAAATGGATGAAAAGGATTTCAGCTTTGGAGAAACAAAAATCTAAACTTCAGGAGGATATTGCAGCTGAGAAACAGAAGTTTTCAGACTTTGCAGAGCAGCTGGCTCAGGGTGAGGCAGATCAAAAGAAAGCTGAGGTTTGTTTTTAACTATATGGCTGCATGCCAACTCTAAAAATTTCATGTTCCATTTATCCCAAGTGCTTAAAGTGTAAACTACATCTAAATAAGTAAATATTTTAATCAACTGGGTGATTAGCATAAGCTACCAGAATTCCTTGTAAAGACCAACTGCTTATTTTAGGCTCTATTCAGATTTAAATCCTTTGCAACAATGCAACCTAACCAATTTACATTTGCTTGAACAATTACTTTTGGTAATGTGTGTTTATCATAGAATGCTTGCTGCTAGTTCATCTTATTGCATTATTTGATATTCAGAGATGCTAATTCATGATAGTCATTACTATTCTTTGAACAACATCTTACGAAGATTCAAGCAAAGGGGAAACAGAGTAGGATCTAGAAATCATGCCACCTTGCTTTTCTTTTGAAGAATTCCAAAAATATTAATCTTTTCAAATTGTTTATATATAAAAGTAGTTTGAAAAATAAATGTAAGAAAACCAAGGTTGCATATTACATTTTTTTTTTTTTTGGGGTTTTGTGACCGATTTGAACAATTTAGGATTATTTCACTAAAAACGGTGTCGATTTGAGCGAAATAACCCATTTAAAAAAACAAGGAAAAATAGTTAACCGGCAACCTAAACGCCCGCCTAGGCCGCCTAGAACATCGGTTATGCCAAAATTTTAGGCGGCCAGTCACCGCCTAGCACCTAGGTGCGACTTTTGCAACATTGAAGAAAACATGACAACCACATTCTAAATTAAATTTAAAATGACAACCACACCGAATGCACATTCTGTGTCAATTTGTTACGTTTTCAAAATGCTAGCATATACAATAAATTTTTGTGTCAATCTGTCACGTTTTCAGAATGCTCGCATAAACATTCAATATGTCACGTTTTCAAAATTCTAGCATCATACAATAAGTTTTTGTGTCAATATGTTAGGTTTTCAAAGCTAGCATATACAATAAATTATTGTGTCAATATGTCATGTTTTGAAATGCTAGCATAAACAATAAATTTTGTGTCAATATGTTGCATCTTCATAACTCTAGATATATATTTAATTCTAAAATTAGAGAATGTGGCATTAATGTCGCTCTATGTGAATGCGCTGTTAATGTTGCACTTTTGAGAATGAGGTTGTTATACTTTGGCGTGAGTTTTGTTTGTTTGTTTGTTTTTTTTTTTTTTTTTTTTTTTTTTTTAAATACCATTTCACTAAATTGTTTATGAAGCATATACAATAAGTTTTTGTGTCAATATGTTGAGGTTTAAAAGCTAGCGTATAAAATAAATTTGTGTGTCAATCTGTCTCATTTTCAAAATGCTAGCATAGACAATAAATTTTTGTGTCAATATGCCATGTCTTCAAAACTCTAGATCATGGTTATCAAGGCGTCGCCTAGGCGTCCGGTCGGTGGAGACCAGACGCCTAATGAGCTTGCCTTGCTTGGAACGATTAACCTGGTCTCGACCCGGTGTTAAATCGGGTCGATTTTTTTTTTTTTTTTTTTTTTTCTTCTTAAAAAGAAAAGAAAAAAAAAAACCTTTCCAGCGCATCTTCTCTTCGCAAATCGCAAAAACTCTATGTGAATGCGACGTTAATGTTGCACTTTTGAGAATGAGGTTGTTATACTTTGGTATGAGTTCTTTTATACCATTTCACTAAATTGTTTATGAAAATTTAATGTTTGAAGATTTATTTCTATTCTTCTTCTAGGTTTGCTCAAGATATACCTATAAATCAAATTTTCTATATCTTGTAGTCAACTCTTTAGCTTTAATATAGTACCATTCTTCTGCAGTAATTATCCACAATTTCTGGAAAATAACTCTCTCTCTCCATACTTGTGAGCCAAATTGCTTCTTTATCTGCTTGATTATTTATTATGTTTCTGCTGTAATTTTTAATTTGAACTGGGCTCACATTCTTGTTCAACTTATTGAATTCAGTGCCTATATCCCACTTGCTTTATATACTCTTTAGCCTTGTGATTTTCTGATAGTTGCTGTGACCTGCCTGTTTGGGTGATTTTTAGTTGATTTGGTTCTACATTTTCTCATCTTGTGATGAATGACTGATATTCATTGAACTATAAACTCAACTGAATTTGCTTTGGGCTTGGTTTGCTGTTTGGAATCAATTATTCTGTTCATCTTTGTTTAGTGCTTTCCTTAGTCCTAAGTTCTTGATCTATCATCTATCATCTGTGTCTTGAAGTATTATATTATCACTTCTACCTGTGCCAATTCTGTGCCAATTCTGTGCGGCCTAAGCTGATAAATATCTCAGTAAATTTTGTACTGTTTCTGTTTGACAGGAAGAGTGGTGCAAGGAACAGGAAGCCAAGGAGGTAGCCCGGACCCAAGTAGAGGAAGAACAGAAGTTCAAAGAGGCTGCCGAGACTGGTAACAAAAGGAAGCTGGAGGCTCTGCGCCTCAAGGCAGAAATGGACTTCCAGAGGCAGAAAGATGACATCCAACGCCTTGAACAAGATCTTCCAATGCCGAAATCATCCGAGATGAATGCCCATGGAGACGTCGCCAGGTTGATGCATGAATTAGACAACCTGGAGAATTCTGCAGAGAAGGAAGTTGGGTGTGATAGGGAATGCGTTCTCTGCTTGAAGGATGAAGTGTCTGTTGTCTTTCTCCCCTGTGGTCACCTAGTTGTGTGTGCCAACTGCAACAAGAGCTACGGGAAGAAGGGCAGAGCTGCATGTCCATGCTGTTGCGTCCCTATTGAACAGAGAATTCGTGTCTTTGCGTGACCTCCTAGCATCCTTGCTTGCTTCTTGTTGATCTGAAGAAAGCATAATTGAAATCGACCCTCGAAAAACTAACTCAAGAACAGTCAAAAAATTGAAAACTTTACATTGTTATTACTGATTCTTGTATTTAAACATGTCCCTAATACTAAAAAGAAAGCTTTGTTCTGCCCCGTTTGCCTATTTACTACATGAAGTATTATATTTTCACTTCTACCTGTGCATATTCTGTGCAAATTCTGTGCGGCCTAAGCTGATAAATATCTCAGTTAGTTCTATTCAAGATTATCCTAAATTCACCACCTTTACATATTATTATAATTATTATTTTTTTATTATTACATATATTTAAATTTTTTTGGTTGCTTCTCAATTGCAGGCTCTGCAGGAGTTGGTTTCACACTGCATGTAATCACAGTGAACTCAGTAGAGGTAACCTTAGCTTTATCTCATGATTCTCGTCAGTCATAGTATAGAATTCTGCTACCCGCATGGATATCTTAGTTGGTTCCCCGAGCTCAGTTAGTTCTTGAGTGGTGCACGGGGGCACAGGATCGAGTCTAATTGGCTTCAATGCAAGAGGGTGGCTTCTTGTGGTCCTCTTGCCTAATGGGCCGGGCCTGGTGACTCCAGCGTGGGAGTTTCAGATGGGCCAGGCTGCAGTGAGTCACCGTGATTTACCCCTTCACAACCCTATTGGGTTGGGGTGCGGGGGCTTTTGGGGCGAGGGATTTCGCCTTTGTGGGCATTGTATAGAATTCTGCTCTTTTAAACTAAAGCTGCCATTTTTACCTACTACAAGGAAAGCAAAAGCTCACATTTTTACTTACAGGTAAGGTAAAAAGATCATATCTTTGATGTGTTGTGTAGAGTTTAAAAAGCTTTAAGCTACACTGCATTTACTGTGCTGTGCAAATTTTTTTCTATTTCTGGTGTATAAGTTGTCAAAATAGATATTAGATTGTGAGTAGAATATATATCTTAAGCTGCTATATTTGAATGAGCTTTTACCATGGGAAGTGATATGTGCTTATGTAAATGCTATATTTGAATGAGCTTTTACCATGGGAATTTGATATGCATTTATGTAAATGCTATATTTGAATGAGCTTTTACCATGGGAAGTGATATGCGTTTATGTAAATGCTATATTTGAATGAGTTTTTACCATGGGAAGTGATACGCCTGATGTGCCCGCAAATACCTTCCAAGTTTGATTTTCCCCATTGCCTATGGAATTTGGTGCGAGTATTGCTGGAAGGGATCATCCTTCACCACCATTTGGTGTGATTTTCCCCATTTTCTGCAATAAGGAATTTCTGCAAAAGGCAATTTATGTGGTTCTATTATGTGTTTGTACTGCATTGTTATAAACTACAATTTGGAGTGGTAGTTTAGGTACTGTGCTTCCCCATTAACACATATATTTGTTTGTGTGTAGGTATGGACAATATTGATACACAAATTAAGAAAATTCTCCTAATTAATGAGTACTTGGAAGAAGAAGATGACTTTTGGGATTTGGTGGCTTGTACGACCGGCTATGTGTGTGTATTATTTGAATCATATCTACAAGGAGCCATGCATGACATCTTATTTAACAGGAGAAAGGTGGATGTAAGAATTACTACATGGTAATGAAAAAGGGTGTTTTAATGCATTTAGAATGAATCCGGATACATTTCGCCAATTATGTATTTATGTGTAGATTTAGAAACCAAGTATGGTTTGATGCCTTCGAGTAGGATGTGAACTTATGTGTAGATTTATGAGTTACTTTTTTTTTTTTTTTTTAAACATAATTGCATTAATTGGTATCTTTAATTATTATTAACTACTTTATGCTTATTTTATCTTGAAAAATATGCTTATTTTATTTTTATTAACTTATTTTATTATTATGTTATTCTTAATTCTTAATAAAACAAAAACTATGTAATAATAATAACAACAATTTATAAATGTAAATTATTTATAAATGTATATTTAAAGCTTAAAACAACATAATACATCCATGCTCTTAAATATCATTTTACATGCAATCAGTCAACAATAAACAACTAATTTACCAAACACTTTTCTATAATCAACCAATTATTAATTATTAGCTAACCTAAACAGTTATCAGCTAACCGTTATTTACCAAAAAACTAGGAATTAACTGAATGTCTTTTAGGAAGACAAGCTAGGATGAAGATGTTAGGGCGTGAAATTGGGAATTTTGTTTTGCTAACATCTAAAATCATTTTTGTTTGGAATACTGAATGTCTTTTAGGAAGACAAGCTAGGATGAAGATGTTAGGGCGTGAAATTGGAAATTTTGTTTTGCTAACATCTAAAATCATTTTTGTTTGGAATTCTGAGAAGCCTTCCAACCGCGCTCTTTTTCGGACCTTTAACCTTGATAAAAAGTTTTGGTTTTTTGCCAGAAGTAAGTTATATATGCTAATTGATTTAGTTGGTAAAATGTGACATTTAGGTTATTCTTTGATCGGTTTGATCCTGGTTTTGTTTGTTTATGGTGTTTGTAAACATGAAGGGTATCCTATATTCGTATGTTGATTTAAGGACTCCCTATTGAATAGAGAATTCGTGTCTTTGGCATGACCTCCTAACATCGTTCCCTGCTTCTTGTTGATCTGAAGAAAGCACAATTGAAATCGACCCTAAACAAACTAACTCAAGAACAGTCAAAAAATTGAAAACTTTACACTGTTATCAATGTCTACATAGCAGCGAAGCCTGCAAATGATTCCCATACAACAGCTTCTTCCAACTAGTGTTGACTGTGCCGGGAATGCCAGCTTTCTGAGCATGTAATTCGAAGGAAGGTTGCTTATTAGTTTGTTGCAAATGTAATGTGAAAACAGGAAAAGAAAGCTAGGTAATTGCAGACCAAGGAAGAGACTCTTGCCTGATTACGAGGAAGAGGATGAGAAGCTGCATAGTGTAGCAGTGACCGTGGCGCCGTGAACCTCAGAGCCGAAGACATGAATCCCAATTCAAGGGAAAAAAGGAGTAATTTTTTAGAGATAAATTAAACCAATACAAATTTCTAGCATAGTTTATTTCTACTTTCATGATTTCATCAACATCCTTACTATTCTTGTATTCCCTCACAAGAGTTGTTAGGTATAACTTTTAAGTACAACAAACATTGTCATCTTATCCCGAAATGAACGGTCGAACATGTGAAACATGATTCTTTTATTTAAACGTCCCTAGTACTAAAAAAAAAGCCTTATTCTGCCAGTTTGCCTATTTACTACATCAAGTTATTATATTATCACTTTTACCTGTGCAAATTCTGTGCGGCCTAAGCTGATAAATATCTCAGTAAGTTTTGTACCTGTTTCTGTTTGACAGGAAAAGTGGTGCAAGAAACAGGCAGCTTCAATGAATTCACTCTTGAAGAAGAATGTTGCGACTTTGGATGTTGGATTTAGGTCAAACTATAAAAATATACAAAATCAGTCACAGGCCGCTTCAAGCCTATGTGTTAAGTAGATTTTGTTATTTACATCTTGATGAGAGTACAGAGCATGAGCACCCCCAGATGGATAAAGAAGATGAGATTATTGTGAGTTTGATCCATCAAATCAAAGATCTTGAGAGGCAGAGAAAGGAGCAGGAGGAATGGGCACATCAAAAAGCAATTCAAGCTGCAAGAAAATTTATCAATGACTTAACTGAGCTTAAGATTCTGAGGATGGATAGGGAGGAGACCCAAAGTGTGAAGAAGGGTAAGCAGACCATGGAGGACAATTTCATGAAGAAGCTCACAGAAATGGAGAATGTTCTCCGTAAAGCAAGTGGTGAAGCGGACCGTGCCAATTCAGCTTTATATACTCTTTAGTTTTCTCGTGATTTTTTTATAGTTGCTGTGACTTGCCTGTTTTGGTGATTTTAAGTTGATTTTGTGCACATTCTGTGCAAATTCTGTGCAGCCTAAGCTGACAAATATCTAAGTAAATTTTCTATCTGTTTCTGTTTGACAGGAAAAGTGGTGCAAGGAACAGTGGAAGAACGACGATTCAAAGAGGCTGCCTGTGGTTGAATGCTCGAAGAGGTTTAATCTCAGTCCTTCAATGAAATCACTCTTGAAGAGGAATGTTGCAACTTTGGATGCTGGATTTAGGTTAAACTACAGGAGAAATATACAAAATCAGTCACAGGCAACCTCAAGCCTTTTACCTTCTGGGTATTCCGAATCCTAGAACTCAGAAAACCAAGATGTTGTCAACAATGTGTTAAGTAGATTTCCTTATTTACATCTTGATGAGCGTACAGAGCATGGACATCCCCAGATGGATAAAGAAGATGAGAGTATCGTGAGTTTGATCCATCAAATCAAGGATCTTGAGAGGCAGAGAAAGAAGCAGGACGAATGGGCACATCAAAAAGCAATTCAAGCTGCAAGAAAATTTATCAATGACTTAACTGAGCTTAAGATGCTGGGGATGGATATGGAGGAGACCCAAAGTGTGAAGAAGGGTAAGTAGACCATTGAAGACAATTTCATGAAGAAGCTCACAGAAATGGAGAATGCTCTCCGTAAAGCAAGTGGTGAAGCGGACCGTGCCAATTTAGCTTTATATACTCTTTAGTTTTCTCGTGATTTTCTTATAGTTGTTGTGACTTGCTTGTTTTGGTGATTTTAAGTTGATTTTGTGCATATTTTGTGCAAATCCTGTGCAGCCTAAGCTGACAGGAAAAGTGGTGCAAGGAACAGGCAGCCAAGGAGGTAGCTCTCACACAAGCAGAGAAAGAACGACGGTTCAAAGAGGCTGCCTGAGGTTGAATGCTCGAAGAGGTTCCTAGTCCTTTAATGAATTCATTGTTGAAGAAGAATGTTGCAACTTTTGATGTTGGATTTAGGTCAAACTACAAAAATATACAAAATCATTCACAGGCAGCCTCAACTCTCAAGCCTTTTGCCTTCTGGTTCTGGGTATTCCGAATCTCAGAATTCAAAAACCCAAGATGTTGTCAACTATGTGTTAAGTAGATTTGGTGATTTAAATCTTGATGAGAGTACAGAGCATGGGCATCCCCAGATGGATAAAGAAGATGAGATTATTGTGAGTTTGATCTATCAAACCAAGGATCTTGAGAGGCAGAGAAAGGACTGGAGGAATGTGCAAATTATGTGCAGATTAGGGTGATAAATATCTCAGTAAATTCAATTATATTTTTGTTACTGCCTCTTGATTAAGCTCGTCAAATAGAATCTTCTTAGTACGATTCAAAGTGATAACACTCAAATGAATTTTGTGCAACAATAAAGTATGTGATTGGTTGTGAAGGTCAAATGCGTATATTGTAATATTTCCTTCTTTTATATCTCATACAAAGTTGTCTCTCATGAGTTTTTGAAAGGTAAAGTTAACTCTTTAGTACAAGTTACAAGAAGTTAACTTATAGACACCTATAGCCTAAGATACATTTGTCACTTATTAATTTCTATCCATGTTAATTGGTGATATAACTTTGCAAAGTGAATGGGCACGGTTCAACACATGTCAGGTTTTGTACACACAATTAGCTTTTGTCTAAGTATTATCATAATTAAATAAGATCGCGGTTTGGTTTCGGTTCCAAATTGCTGATTCACGATTCTGATAAAATTGGAACCGAGACCTTTTAAGAAGGTTCCGGTTTGACGGTTGGTTCAAACCTTTTTATTAAATCTATTTCCTATTTTGAAAATAATCCGAATTTTACAATTAAATTTTTTAAAAGAATTTGTTCATTCTATAAAAGGGTCAAATAGACCCTTGAACTATAGGCAAAAGAGTAATTAGGCCCTTCAACTTTAAAAAGATGCAATTAAACCCTTCAACTTATTATTTTGAGTCAAATAAGTCCAATAACAAGTTTTTCACCTGAAATAACCGGTCAAAATATTTCGGCGACAACAAATTTTTTTTAAAAAAAAAAAAAAACTGCCAGAGAAAACAACCGTTGTCTTCTCCGGTGGAGAAGGCCTGGTCGCCTTCTCCATTGGAGAGGGCGGCCAGTCCGGTCGCCCTCTCCACTGGAGAGGGCGGCCAGATCTGGTCGCCTTCTCCACTGGAGAGGACGACCAGTCCGGTCGCCCTCTCCAGTGGAGAGGGCACCCAGTCTGGTCGCCCTCTCCACTGGAGAGGACGACCAGCGTCCTCTCCAATGGAGAAGGCGACCAAGCCTTCTCCGGCAGTTTTTTTTTTTTAAAAAATTTGTTGTCACCGGATTTTTGATCGGAAATGTCGCCGGAATTTTTTGACCGGTTATTCCAGGTGAAAAACTTGTTATTGGACTTATTTGACTCAAAATAACAAGTTGAAGGGCTTAATTGCACCTTTTTAAAGTTGAAGGGCCTAATTGCTCTTTTGCCTATAGTTCAAGGGTCTATTTGACCCTTTTTCCTTTTTTAAATGGTTATATCAAATATTTAAGTTAAACTGAAAAATAAAAATAATTTTGTGTTTGCACTTTATTATTATTATTATTATTATTATTATTATTTCGGTTCAGAATCAGAACTTACTGATTTTGAACTAGAATAGGCAATTTTGGTTTGCAATTTTAATAAATCAGACGTTATGCCATGGAACCGTGTTCACCATTCATGGTGAACACGGTTCCAACGGTGTTAGTGCACCGTTATCTTTTTTTTTTTTTTTTTTTTTTTTTTTAATTACGTGACTGCCTACACATTCACTTTGGAACCATGCCTACACATTCACTTTGGAACCCTGAGATTATGAATTTTCTGTTATGAGATTATGAATTTTCTGTTATGAGATTATGAATTTTCTGTTATGCGATTATGAATTTTCTGTTATGAGATTATGAATTTTCATTACATTCATAATTTCGGAGTTTCGGACATTCATAAATTATGAATTCATGCATGCACATTCACTTTGGAACCATGCCTACATATTCCCGTCCGAAATCACGGACATTCATAAATTATGAATCCATGCCTGCACATTCACTTTGGAACCATGCCTACACATTCACTTTGGAACCATGAGATTATGAATTTTCTGTTATAAGATTATGAATTTTCTGTTATGAGATTATGAATTTTCAATTGTGAGATTATGAATTTTCTGTTATGCGATTATGAATTTTCTGTTATGCGATTATGATTTTTCTGTTATGAGATTATGAATTTTATAACAGAAAATTCATAATTTGATCAGTAACGCGCCGTTAACTTCAGATCCGCATTTTTTTTTTTTTACGTAAAAACGACGTCATTTTAACTTGTGTTCACCATTCTCGGTGAACACGATTCCACGGCATAATTTGCGTTAATAAATTGAAACTGTCCCTACAATTTTAGTTTCAGCTCGATTCTACAGTGTCCGGTTCGATAGTCACGATGTCAGTCACAAGCCCAATAGGAGATAAGGTCCATTTTCACTCCCCATACAGGCCCAAATAAACCCAGGCCCATCAAGCCCAACTATCATTCCGTAAAACACGTAACAGACCGTGCGATTAACGTGTTATTGTAATCAGTAATTTCCTAATCCAATTTTTCATTTTACTCTCTCTCTCTCTCTCTCGCTCGCTTTCTCTCTCTCAGTTTCCGTTTTTCTCAGTAGCTATCTTCTGCTCAAAAGACGATCACCGGCGATATATGTAAGTTGATCTCCGATTCTATGTGATCATCTCCTTTCTGAATTCTGAATAGTTATATGCGATTCATTCGAAGATTATAATAGTAAGCGTATGAATTCGTGTAAATTCAGTTTTATTTTTTTGGTTAGTTTTGTGTTTGTTGAATTTTCGCTTTGAATTTTCAGTCTGTATCTAGAATCGGAATGGGGTGTAACGTAAGAGAGAAGCATATCCGTGCCAATCGGAGGAACCGATCGGCGAAGCCCGACCCGGAGCAGGGCAGCAGCAATAACAACACAGGCAATGCTGCAGAAAGGACTCCGTTATCTAAATCCATCATGGAATCTGGTATCAAGCCTTTGAATTGTTTTATGGGCAGTCATGATTCTGCCCTGAACACAAACCCTAGCCCGACTCCCGGCGGTGGGTTTGATGGCAATGGGTGGGGTTACTGTACCGAGGAGCAGCTGGAGGATCTTGTGATGAAGAATTTGGAGTTTCTATATAATGAGGCTATTCTTAAACTTGTTTCTTTAGGGTATGATGAGGATGTGGCTTTGAAGGCCATTCTGAAGAATGGGTTTTGCTATGGTGGGATGGATGTGCTGAATAATATATTGCATAATGCAATATCTTATTTGAAAAGTGGGACGAGCTCTGAAGAGTCTGAGAATAATTTCACTGATTTGAGGCAGATGCAGGAATACTCATTGGCTGGTATGGTGTGCATACTGCAGCAGGTTAAGCCACAGTTCAGTAAAGGGGATGCAATGTGGTGTTTGCTAATGAGTGATCTTAATGTGGGGCGTGCCAGCGTGATGGATATTCCAGTTCTTCCTCAACCTAATGGGAATGGTTCTGCTAGTGTATCAGTTACTGGTAATAGTAATGTGGAGGGTGTTGGGAATGGTCCTGTTGGCATACCCCCTGCTATATGTAGATTTCATGGTGGTTGGGGTTTTGGAAATGAGGGTCCCAATGATTTTAATAGGTTTTTCTCATACTCTGAGACACCTTTGCAGAGAGAGGTTGAATGCCCAAAGAGGTTTAATCTTAGTCCTTCAATGAAGTCATTGTTGAAGAAGAATGTTGCAACTTTTGCTGCTGGATTTAGGTCGAACTCTAAAATACAAAACCAGTCACAAGCAGCCTCAAGCCTTTTGCCTTCTGGGTATTCCTCAAGCTTGAATGGATCAGGTGTTGAAGGTATTGTAGCAAAGGGTGAGGAATCCCAGAATTCAAAAAACCAAGACGTTGTCAACTCTGTATTAAGTAAATTTCGTGATTTAAATCTTGATGAGAGTACAGAGCATGGGCATCCCCAGATGGATCAAAAAGATGAGATTATTGTGAGTTTGATCCATCAAATCAAGGATCTTGAGAGGCAGGCAAAGGAGCGGAAGGAATGGGCACATCAAAAAGCAATGCAAGCTGCAAGGAAATTAAGCAATGACTTAACTGAGCTTAAGATGCTGAGGATGGAAAGGGAGGAGACCCAAAGTGTGAAGAAGGGTAAGCAGACCATTGAAGACAATACCATGAAGAAGCTCACAGAAATGGAGAATGCTCTCCGTAAAGCAAGTGGTGAAGTGGACCGTGCCAATTCAGCTGTGAAAAAGCTGGAGACTGAAAATGCAGAAATTAGAGCAGAAATGGAGGCTTGTAAACTGAGTGCATCAGAATCTGCAACAACTTTTATGGAGGTTTCAAAGAGGGAGAAGAAATGCCTGAAAAAGATTTCAGCTTGGGAGAAACAGAAATCTAAACTTCAGGAGGATATTGCATCTGAGAAACAGAAGTGTTCAGACTTGGCAGAACAGCTGGCTCAGGCTGAGGCAGATCAAAAAAAAGCTGAGGTTTGTTTTTAACTATATGTTTTCAAAATTCTAGCATATACAATAAGATTTTGGGCCAATATCCGGGTTTTCAAGCCAGCGTATACAATAAATTTATTGTGTCAATGTGTCACGTTTTCAAATGCTAGCAGAGACAATAAATTGTGTCAATATGTTGCATCTTCAAAACTCTAGATATATATATATATGTATATATATATATATATGTATATATATATATATATATATATATATATATATATATTTAATTCTAAAATTAGAGAATGTGACATTAATGTCGCTCTTTGTGAATGCGGTGTTGATGTTGCACTGGTGATGTGAGGTTTTTTTTTTTTTTTTTTTTTTTTTTGTAAATTTTTAAAATTTTTTAATACCATGTCACTAAATTGTTTAGAAGCATATGCAATAAGTTTTTGTGTCAATGTGTTGAGTTTTCAAAGCTAGCATATACAATAGATCTTTTATTCAATATGTCGCATTTTCAAAATTCTAGCATAGACAATAATTTTGTGTCTTCAAAATGCTAGATATATATTTAATTCTAAAATTAGAGAATGTGTCATTAATGTCGCTCGTTGTGAATGCAATGTTAATGTTTCACTTTTGAGAATGAGGTTGTTATACTTTGGTGTGAGGGTTTTTTTTTTCCATATACCATAAGTTTTTGTGTCAATGTGTTGAGTTTTCAAAGCTAGCATATGCAATAAATTTTTGTGTCAATCTGTTGTGTTTTCAAAATGCTAGCATAGACTATAAATTTTTGTGTCAATATGCCTTGTCTTAAAAAATCAAAACACTAGATATACATTTAATTTTGAAATTAGAGAATGTGACATTGTCTCACTTTGTGAATACGCGTTAATGTTGCACTTTCAATAATGAGGTTATACTTTGGTATGAGTTCTTTTCATACCATTTCACTAAATTGTTTATGAAAATTAAACTTTTGAAGATTTATTTCTATTCTCCTTCTAGGTTTGCTAAAGATATACCTTGTAAATCAAATTTTCTATATCTTGTAGTCAACTCTTTGGCTTTAATATAGTACCATTCTTCTCCAGTAACTATCCAAAATTTCTGGAAAATAAGATTCTCTCCATGCTTGGTTGCTGACTGAGCCAAATTGCTTCCTTATCTTCTTTAGTTATTATGTTTCTGCTGTAATTTTGAATTTGGACTAGTGCACTCCCAACTTGTGTTGTGCATTGGGGACTTGGAGTTCTCACCGTTTTTCTTTTATTTACCTTTTACTCATCTTGGGTAGAAGACAATTAATGACCTTTACAATTACTTCAGCATATTGAATTCAGTGCCTGTAGCTGACTTACTTTGTATACTCTTTAGTTCTTGAGATTTTTTGATAGTTGCTGTGACCTGCCTGTTTGGGTGATTTTAAGATGATTTGGTCCTACATTTTCTCATCTTGTGATGCTCTTGATGTTCTATTAATGCTTGTGATGATCGACTGTGATATTCAATGAACTATAAACTCAACAGAGTTTACTTTGGGATCAGCTTGCTGTTTGGAATCAATTTTTGTATTCATCTTTGTTTAATGCTTTCCTTATTCCTAAATTCTTGATCTATCATCTGTGTCTTAAAGTCTTAATGGCATCTGTTCAAGCTTTGATATGCTCCCTGTTTATCTATTTACTACTTGAAGAGCTATATTATCACTTCTACCTGTGCATATTCTGTTCAAATCCTGTGTGGCCTAAGCTGATAATTACATCAGTAAGTTTTGTCCTGTTTCTGTTTGCCAGGCATAAATATCTCGGTAAATTTTGTACCTGTTTCTGTTTGACAGGAAAGGTGGATTAAGGAACAGGCAGCCAAGGAGGTAGCCCTGACCCAGGTTGAGGAAGAACGGAGGTTGAAAGAGGCTGCCGAGGCGGGTAACAAAAGGAAGCAGGAGGCTCTGCGCCTCAAGATAGAAATAGACTTCCAGAGGCAAAAAGACGATCTCCAACGCCTTCAACAAGATCTTTCAAGGCTGAAATCATCCGCGCTGAGTGCTGAACAGCACCATCAATCTGTCAGGCTAACCACAGGGAACTCGGATGGGGTGAATGCCCATGGAGACATCGCGAGGTTGCTCCATGAATTAGACCTGGAGAATTCTGCAGAGAAGGAAGTTGGGTGTGATCGGGAATGCATTCTCTGCTTGAAGGATGAGGTGTCTGTTGTCTTTCTCCCCTGCGCTCACCAAGTCGTGTGTGCCAACTGCAACGAGAGCTACGGGAAGAAGGGCAGAGCTGCATGTCCAGCCTGTCGCGTCCCTATTGAGCAGAGAATTCGTGTCTTTGGCGCCACCTCCTAGCATCTTTGCCTGCTTGTTGTTGATCTGAAGAAAGCATGGCATTACAGAAACAATGACATTACAGATAACAAAGTGGTATTACATTTCTTATTTTACTTTTCCTTGCTTCACATGTCTTCTTCTTAGTAAGAAGACAAATACATATATTTGACATTTTACAAGTTTTAGAGTAGCTGTGGCTGCTTTCTAAATGAGTTTTTTTTTTTTTCTTTTTTCTTTTTATAACTCGGTAAAAGATAAGTAGGGAACTCTCACGATTGTGCACAGTCCGTGCACAAGCACTGCACAAAAAAACTAGGTAAGAGATCGTAGGAAATGATCGTGTTGGGCACATGCCCATGCACGCAAGTCCTATTATTTATTTGACCCCTCTCTCTCTATATATATAGACATTATTTATGTGATTCTTTTTCTGCCTAGCTTGTATTGTTAAACAAGAGAATATATTGGGGCAATTTCCTCCATCCATGTTAGTTTGACAATTGATTTGGTAATTATAAGGTTTAAGTTCAGCTTTCTGCTATTAGTCTTCTTGGTCCTCTTTCTGGTTTTTTGCTGGCTAAGGAGTTGTCTATTAGTCTTTTGGTTCTTTGTCGGCTAAGGGGGCTTTGGGTTTTTTCTGTAAATCACTTAATGAATTGTGGGCTTTTGGTGACACTTTTATAGAGGCTATTGTTGTCACTATAGAGTTGTTTATTCATGGTATCACCGAAGGGAATGAAAGATGGTCGGAGAACATTTTGACAATGTTGTTCACTTGTTCATATAACATTTGAAATCAAAAGCATAAAGCAAAGCAGCACTTCACTTCCAATGGCTAATCATTCTTCCATGACCTTCTTTTAAACCAATTTTTTCAATGGGGAGAATGTTAAGAGTGAGAGATGATGACCAAATGATTTGACTATATGGTCTTCCAACATCATCTATTCTTGGCATTCTGTCAACTTGATCACAGTTTTTTACAGCACCATAATCATTTCAAGAAGCTTAAAAAACCGTGCCGCGGAAAATGATATTTAGGAATTTACATGTTGATTGTTTTAACTTTTGGATCAGTTTACATTGTTTCTCCAGTCTTTCATTTCTCTAAGTTTTTTGTTATTTTAATTTTTCAAATGGAAATTTAATTTCGGGATTATAGATATAAATTCGAATGAGAGAAAGCCAGAAATGATGACTAAAGAGAAAATTGGAGAGGTGACCAAAGATAAAACTGATGGTAAAAAAGAAAGTTCGAGAAGAAGACTAGAGCGAATGTGTAAAAATGATTATGGTATTATAATTCAAACATGTAATGAAATATTTTTCAATATCAATAGAAATAGACATAATAAAATCTCTTAATGCACCAAAAGAATGGCCATAACATATGTAGTAGTTAAAAAACACAAATTTATCTAAATAATTTCACTTCCTCAATAAAGTAAAAGAAAAATTAATAAATTTCCTTATTATTATTATTATTATAAGGAAGGGGATACCCTACATATACACACTATTGCCTCAATTGAGGTTCGAACCTTACACCTCCCACTTAGGGGAGTAACTCGATACTAGTGAACTACAAGCCACTTGGTTAATAAATTTTATTTAAAGTATAAGAATCTTAACTTGTATGTTTTGTTAAATATTTTGTATAGATTAATTAAAAAAAATATTCAAAATACCAAAAAAATATCATACAAATAAATAAAATGCAATTATTTGTAATATATAGCTGGAAAACAAATCCCATCCATAACACAAAACACAAATCTAAAGTTGCAGTAGATGTCTGTCAACCTTAAAATCATAATGGAATTTCAACAACACTTTAATCTAATTTACACATAGCTATATGCACTTAAGCATCAACAAAGAAATGATAAAAATCTCCCACTAATCCCTCAAAAAGAATGTTAAAACCTAATGAATGAAAACCTGATGCATCAAAAAAACGTACAAATAATAAATATTTAATTTGCAAATACAAATGAATAGTATGTATAGTGATTATCTTCTGGAACCTAAAACTTGAATGAGGACTTTCATATCAACTATTGCCTTCATAACAACACCATTATTGCTAATTGCATCTCATACTTCTCTATTATTCTCAATGATTCATGGACAATGGAGTATTTTGATTCATTAATAGTTCATACAAATCGACATAGAACTGACTTCCCTAGTTATCAAGTGAGTGATCGGGTTAAACATTCGCTTAACAAAAGAAAGAAATAATTTATAGTGGTTTAAAGGCCAAAAGTATATTTAAAAAGTCTTTTCAGGAAACTCCTTGGAAACAATATACAAATAATGTTTTGGACACCTTGAAAATAAATTCATAATTACTCAATAGTTTTCTATAGTCTATCTATAGATATGAAAAAGGATTAATATTTAATGCACCCTCGGTGTATAGATGCTATACACCTACGGGAAATAAGAATGTGACACATCATTAAAAAATAAAATCAATATTAACCGGGTCATTTTTTTTTACAAAATATCTAAGACTTGTATTTTATTAGGTAACTCTTTATTTTTAATTAACAAAATATATCTACTTTCCTAACATATTTATTACTTAATTATTATATATCTAATTGTTAACAATGTTAACTCCTGGTTCAATTCTACAACAATGAAAGCTTAAAACAATTATGACTAACAATGGGGAAGAATTATAATTATCAATGTTATTAATTGATTCTTTACTTAAAATTATTATAATTAAGAATGGTAATTGATATCTAAATTTTTTTTTTTTTTAATAAATCTAAAAATAATATCTAATTGAACTGAATTTTTAAAAATAATATCTAATTTAGAAATTCAGTTCAATTAGATATATAATAATTAAATAATAAATATGTTTAGGAAAGTAGATATATTTTGTTAAATAAAAGTGAAGTTTATTTAGAAACTTCTATTTATGGCGAGATTTGAAGCTGGCTTATATTCTTCCAACTTTTCATGACCAGTTGAGCTGCTAGGTAAGAAGCTGGCTTATATATATATATATATAATCGAGCTGCCCATGAAGGTAGAAAGCTGGCTTATATATATAATCTTCTCCCTCCCTCCCTACCTCTTCCAACTGCATACTGATGGCCATGCAAATGGGCTTATTTAAGATTGTCTTCTTTCTTGTAGCAGGTATCCACACACTCGTTTGCATACATAGTGTATTTTGTTTTATTTATATATTTTTTGGTTGCATCTTTGGCGGATTATATTGATCTAATCTAATCTAATCATACCAATTTGTATTCATGTGTTAGGGTACACTACTGCCGTGCTTCTGCATGGTAAATTGTCAGATGTGCTGGGCGAACTTCAGGTCCTTAAATTTTTCATCGTATTTCTAAGCTATAACTTTATGATTATATTCCTGCCTTCCTATGTTTTAAATTTAACGTTATTGCTTTGTAGGTTCGACGGTTAGCTATGGAGGTTCGATCACTGGCTTCCACACGAGCAATCACTGTTCTCAGTTGGGGTTCTAATGGTATTTTTGCTTATACAAGATTAATCGATAAATTAAAGTTGTCACATGTAGAGCCTGAGATATGTTGTGTTACCATTTTTTAAAATTTATATGTTTGACCTTACTCTATTTCTATTGCACACTTTGTTAGGTAACATAACAAATCTGGTGGTTCTAACTGCTGCTGTATGGGCCCTGGGCTATGGATACATGTTGTGGAAGGTGAATTCTTCAAGCTCTCTATTTACTTAAACTTTTAAATGCTTAGTTTTCATGTGCATATTATACCTTAAAAGAGGAGAAACAATAAACTTTTTTGTTATGCTGTGCATCCGTGCATGGTGTATACGGATGCAAAAACGACCTCGTTTTGACGTCTAACTTAAAAAAAAAATAGGAATTACATAACTAAAATCCATAATTTCATAACTATATATGCATCCAGAATTACATAACTACACATTCATAATTTCATAACTATAAATCTAGAATTGCATAATTACACATCCATAACTTCATAACTATACATCCAGAATTGCATAACTATACATCCATAACTTCAAAAATCCAGAATTGCATAACTACACATCCAGGATTGCATAACTATACATCCATAACTTCAAAAATCCATAATTGCATAACTACACATCCAGAATTGCATAATTATACATCTAGAATTTCATAAGTAAAATCCAGGATGAATGAACTAAAAAATGAATAACATGGGTGTGTTTGGTTGGTGGGTTTTGCCCATAGGAATGGGTATGAAAGTGATTGTTGTTGTTTGGTTGATAAGTTTTTAGAACACTACTATGCGTTTCGAATACCCCATCAATTGAAAAACCCATACCCAAATACAATAAGGGTTTCATTCCCTTATCCATTCTCAAACCATTCTCATTCCACCCTACTACTACTTTCACCAAAACCCATTACCATTACCAAGTATTTGATACCCATTCCGATTCCTATGTGCGAACCAAACACACCCATAATGTTGTTCTTGGGAATCGAAACTGTTTTTTTTTTTTAAATAGGACGCGTGTTTTGATGCAAAACGACGCATTCTAATTTCATGATTCTTTTCTTATACACATGATGTTTTGAGGGTATCTCATCTCATTCTCTGACCTTATGTAGGTAACAAAGGGTATGGCAACTGCTGTTGAAAACGTAACAAAGCAACTGGAGCATGTTTCTGATGCCTTAGCTGTGAGTCTCTCAACTTCTTGCGAACTATATATGTTCTCTCTCTTCTTTTTCATGCTGCTATACACATGTTGTGATCTTTGTATTCTGACCATCTTCATAGCATTTAATCATCTTTAACCTTAATAGCAGATTAGCAGTTGACAAATAAGGCAGTGAGGTTTTGACAACACTTTTAGCACCCTTTATTTTAGTTGCCAAGCTTCAGTTAGTGGAAATTCTAAAATTATAGCCAATTCATGTCTATGAAGCACATGCTTCAATTTGGTATCAGAGTCAGACCAAAGGTCATGGGTTCGAATCTCGCGGATGATGGAACACATGCTTCAATTTAAACTACATAAGCAACAAGATATTTGATGCTTAAACTCTTGCAACTTTTCTTATCTTGTGTACATAACAACCTATCATGTTTATGTATATTTGTCCTCAAGTTCAAAAACTCATGGGCCGCTTACATAATTTGCCTATGTGGTAGGCAACAAAGAGGTATTTGAAGCAGAGAATTGAGAATGTAGACGGGAAATTGAATGACCAAATTGAGATATCAAAACAAATTCAGACTGAGGTAAAGATATCAAAACAAATTCAGACTGAGGTAAACTCAAAGTAATTCTTATTTTCCAACTATTCATAGGATGGATTTTGGTTTAAATGAATTAATTCATGTTATTTTTAACATGAACATATTAGTGAAAGATTCAGTTTGTGATTGATGTGTTAAATAAAATGGGAAAATGAATTTATATTCCAATTACTATTATATTATGCATATTATAACAAAATCACTGAAATTTTGGAACAGATTAACGATGTTCGTGGTCATCTTTCTCAAATTGGTTTTGATTTGGATTCACTACAAAGGATGGTGACTGGCCTGGTCAGTGTTTTTTGTTGCTAATATTCTTTCACCTAAAATATTACTAATCAAGCATATTATTGACAACTTTGTTAATTAATTGCATCACCACACATACTTATTTGTTATTCATAGTCATTTTGTTGGCTACTTTTCTTCATTTTTTCTTATGGTAATATGTTGAATCTCAGGATGACAAGCTTCTTTCCTTGGAAGAAAAGCAGGTGATTTTTATTATATTTAAAAAAAAATAAAATTATTTTGAACCAAAATAAATTAACTTCAGTTTTACCAATAATTCTCTGTCATCCTTATTTCCTGTTTGGATTTTGTTCAATGGACAATGGTCATCAATTATATTTAGATGGGTTTACTAATTACTGCTATTACAACTGTGGCAATAGGAGTTTGCACAAGCTTGTGTCATGTATCTCTGTGGTATTTTCGATGGTCAAAGAGTAAAAATGCCTGAAAAACTCCAGGTTTGTACAAATTACTTCTAACACAAGTGTGTTGAGCATATAGCCATTAATGTGCAATAGCTTAGACTTTTTAAAGGTCATGGGTTCAAACCAGCTTAACCTTTTAGTTGAGATGGGGCACATGCTTCAATTACGTGAAATTTTACATTTTTCTGTTTGGGTAAAGACCAAAATCTTTAGTGAGTGGTGTTGAAAACTAAAAATCTTAATTTCATGCTTTTAAATTCTTATTGTATGCTTACTATCACGTAATCTATATATTTCTTCATACTTCCTTTTTCAGGAACAGCTTCGTATTGCCGGTAACTCAGAGGGTTTACAATAGATCAACTTTCTTGTGTTTACAAACTGAACTCCTACTGCAACTTATATTATATTCGACCAATTTATCACTTTAATATGTACTGTTGTACTGTTGTTAAACATATATGTAGAGAATATATTGGGGCAATTTCCTCCATTTCATGTTAGTTGGACAACTGATTTGATAATTATAAGGTTTAAGTTCAGTTTTCTGCTATTAGTCATTTTTGTGGTTTTTTGCTGGCTATGGAGTTGTCTATTAGTCTTTCGGTTCTTTGTTGGCTAAGGGGGCTTTGGGTTTTTTTTTTGTAAATCAAAGAGAATATATGACTTAATGAATTGTGGGCTTTTGGTGACACTTTTATAGAGGCTTTTGTTGTCACTATAGTGTTGTTTATTGATGGTATCACCGAAGGCAATGAAAGATGGTCGGAGAACATTTTGACAATGTTGTTCACTTGTTCATATAACATTTGAAATCAAAAGCATAAAGCAAAGCAGCACTTCACTTTCAATGGCTAATCATTCTTCCATGAGCTTCTTTTAAACCAATTTTTCAATGGGGAGAAATGGAGAATGTTAAAAGAGTGAGAGATGATGACCAAATGATTTGACTATATGGTCTTCCAACATCATCTATTCTTGGCATTATGTCAAGTTGATCAATGTTTTACAGCACCATAATCATTTCAAGAAGCTTAAAAAGTCGTGTCGCCGAAAATGAAATTCAATTTTCGAGGTTATAGGTACAAATTTGAATGAGAGAAAGTCAGAAACGATGACAAAAGAGGAAATTGGAGAGGTGAACGAAGAGAAAACTGACCTAGAGATTATGGCAAAAAAGAAAGCCCGAGACGAAGATTAGAGCGAAAGCTGGAGATGGAGGCTGGAAAGAGAGTAGGAGACGGTGGCTAGAGAAAAGGTCAAAATAGAGACTGTGAGAGAGAGAAAGTGGGGACAAAGCTAAAGAGAAAGACGGAAACACACAAATTTAAGAACATGTCTAGCTTGTTTTTTAAAATTCAGTTTTTAAATTGAAAGAATGACAAATAAACGTATTCTCTATTTCTCCGGACAACAAACACACAAAATTTCCTGCCATTTGTTGACAGCGGAAACATCATTTTGTCTGGGCACAAATTTTGACATTCCATGATCCCATCATGAGTCAATGAATCTCAGCAATACACAAACAAGGCTAGGTTGTAAGTTTAGCATGACTTAAGGAGCCATCTGAGGAATCAAAATCTCAGTGCTTTCAAAGTCAATCCTAGGTTACTAGCATAGCTTGATCTTAGGATCCCCTAAACAGTTCTAAATCCAACATTCCACTGTGCATATCTTATCAAAGACTTTGCAAACTTCTACCTTGCCCATAAAAGGTAAGAAATATCTCGCTCCAGGGGCCCTATACCTCGGCCCCACGGTGATTCAATGACCAATTAAATGGGAGGACCCGTGTTTGGTGCTCACAAGGAGCCACACTTTGACTTTATAGGATTGTGGATTGGTAAATCACGATGAACCATTGGCTCATTAGGTGGGAGGATCAGTGCTTGGTGCCCACATAGAGCCACACCATGACCCGACAAGATTATGGAAGGGTAAACCATGATGACTCAACGTTCCATTAGGTGAAAGGACTCGTGCTTGGTGTCCACAAGGAGTCAAACCCCAATCCAGGATTGCAGATGGATAAATCAAGGCGACTCAGTGGGCCATTAGGTGAGAGAACTAATGCCTGGTATTCACAATGAGTCAACCCCACAAGAACGGTGACTAAGCGGCTCATTAGGTGAGAGAACCAATGTCTGGTACTCACAAGGAGCCACCCACACAATAGGGTGAAACTCCCACACTATGACGGTCAAGGCTCGATCTTGCATCCTTGCTCATAAATCCACCACTCAGAAATCAACTGAGCTAATCGTGCGGGCTTAACAAACTTCTACCAAGTCTTTGGTGAAAGATGTTTAAACAGTTATTCAAAGAACTTTCACATGTTCCCCTTTGCAAGAAATGAATGTTTAAAGGTATTGGTTACTTTACCCTTTATTACTACCTTGCACACCACACATACAAGAAAGACAAAAACCCCAAAAGAAAGTAAAACAGATTCATTTAACAGCTCATAAGAAATTACACTATAACTAATACAGCAAAATGCTTCCTCCTAACCAGCTAAGTACACAACAAGAAACTATAAATGTTGCAGCATTGGACATATCAGATAAAAACAAGCCCGATAATGGATGGCAAACATCGCGAGTAGAAATAGCGCAAAGTTCCAGTACCTCTAACGAGGGAGGCTTCTTATGCTCGAAGCTTATTTGAGTAGAAGTTCAGAAGTTGAGCTGATAAGTAACCCGATTCCCGGTGTGATCTTAAAAAGTGATCGCCCTTCGATGATGGAATTAAAGGCAGATGAACTTCATGCTTCTGAGGGAAGAAAATTTAAAGGGTGTTTTGTTTTACTCCAAGACAATCATCAAAAACCGTTATCTCGGAGAACAGATTTTCAAGTTTTTTTAAGGCAAACCGAGTTGGATTGTGGCCAAATTCCATCACCACTAACTGGATCTTGATTCCAAGTTTAATTTAACACCGCGCAAAGGGTACATACAATTGTTGTTGCATTCTCAGTTCCTCGATCTGGGCTGTTTTTTTGTCAGAAAAGATTCGGATTTCTTGATGAGCTGTTCTGATCATAACCTTCATATGGCCTTCCGTCGTTTCCATAGAATCCCAGGTAGTTTCCATGGCCAAAGTAAGGAGACAGGCAGCCATATCGGCTTGGATCATCAGAAAGTTCAACTTCCCCTCTAAAACTCGAGTAAGATGAACTCGATGAGAGCTCATGGTTTTCGTATGGCTGCCATAGAGTTGAGCCCGGGAAGCCAAACTGCGTTGAGTGAAATCCCGGAACACTCTGCTGTTGAGGGCATTCCTGTATCCAGGACACGAGAGATCTCGTTAACACCAACACGAGAGCTAGGATAAGGCGATCGATGCAGATAAGAATATCAAGAAAGAGTGCGATGAATCACCTTTGAAGAATCAAGAATCATGTCAGCTGACATCCAGAGACTAGCGGTATCGGGCTGCATACCAAACTCGTAGTCCCCCATATAGGGAGAAGCCATAGGCGTCGAGTAGTTGCTCTCGGTGCTCGTGAATGTGGTTTGAGTTGGGATATCGTCAGAAAGGATAATAGGCTCATTTGAGGAGAAACCTGCATGGCTCGAACTCGATCCAGTTTCCTTAGATGCTGCTATTACTCCACTAGCCTCGCTCGTCTTCTTTGAAACGTCGTTTCTCTTGATGACACGACAGAGGGCGAAAGGACCCTGCAGAGCAGCAGATGTTCTTTCAACCAGTGTTGCAATAATCGGCACCTAGGAGCTAGGCGGTCGGCCTCCAGGCGCCCGCTAGGCGCTCTAGGCACCTGCCTAGGCGCCCTAGGCGGTCTCCAGGTGCCTAGAGGGCGCCTGGCGATTTTTTCAACATTGCACTCGACCACACCAATCAACCAAAACGCAAACGATTAAGGGAGTTCTCGAGTTTACTTACCTGAAAACTAGGATTGCCATGGGAATCCTCATCAGAAATGCGATATTCATGCATTACCCAATCCGTTCTATCCCCGAGAGGAGCTCTCCCGCGATAGAAAACCAGGGTCTTGCGGTACCCAACGGTTGCAGGCTGACAGACAACTCGCCTATCCTTGCCCGTTGCCTTCCAGTACCCAGATTTCGTGGCTCGATTCGTCCTAGACCCGTTCGGGTACTTCTTGTCTCGAGGGCAGAAGAAGAACCACTCCATATCGCGCTTTGGCAGGAACGATTTATCTGCAACTCATACACATATCAGAATCAATAAAAAACACTAAAAAGCATAAATGCCCCACAGAGAACCTCATCTTTTGGCAAGAAAACAAAGCAATAAAGCATCCACTTTTCCCATATATAACAAGACAGTTAAGTTAGCTTTCCATTTTGCTTCCACACAATTATTAATCAACAATCCCAAGAAGACAAACAACATGTTCACACTCATTCAGACATTTCCTCAAACACCTAAGTCTCAACAATTTTACCTGGCAGCTCCCATGGATCAAACTTGTACAAATCCACTACTGGGATCACTTCTAGCTCAATCTCAACCCCATCAGTCTTCCTCTTCAGGTAGTATCCAACTAACTCCTCATCCGTTGGATGGAACCGAAACCCGGGTGGCAATGATGCTCCCCCCATGTCTCAATTCCTAAGCTCACACACAAAAAAAAAAAACTCCAAAACTAGCTAAAGATCAGACTAGAAAGCAGAGAGGATAAGATATACACTCAACAGTTAGCTAAGTCCCCAAACTGTATCTATTAAAAATCTGGAAAATCCAAAAGTAATAGCCTTTGGCCACACAAAATTCAGTTTCAAGAAATGCAAAGAATTTCCACAGAATGCATCCCTTGAGGAACAGAATCATTGTACTTGGGAAAAAAACTCTCAGCACTGTGTTCTTCTCAAACCCCCCTCCCCCACCAAAATAAAAATTCAATCTTTTATTTAAGAAAACAAAATTGGAATTGATGGGTATTATCCCAGAACTGTGATTTGCCAAGGAATCCTATTAGTTTATTACATGAAGAGATAGAGAGAGATAGAGAGAGAAAGGTTGTGTTTGTGTAGAGTAAAAAGAAAGAAGAGAGGAATTGGGAATTTATAGGGTGCGGAGAGAGGCAATTTCAAAGGTCCAAAAAACACTACTTAGTACTAACAATGGCCGAAAGGGTGCTGGCTTCGCAGAATTCTTCAGTGGCCCCCACCTAAACCAGAGATGTGTTCACACCTGAAAAAACTGTTATTTCCCGCCAAAGATAGAATGCTGACAGTTAAAAGACGAAGGTACAACGTTGGAGTATGACTGTGTACGCCATTCTTGGGTGTGCTATGACGTGTATTAACTAGAAAATTTATAATTGTGTAAATTTCAATTTTGGTCCACTGATTATTGTGGTCTTGTTAATTGCAACACGATTTTTAAAATTGTCAAAAATATATTCACTCGTAGAGTTGATCTTGGTCAAATTGATAAGATTAAATTAAACTAGGGGTGTAAATGAGTCGAGCCACTCGTGAGCGACTCAGTCAAAGCTCGGCTCGAGCTCGGTCAAAATCGAGCTCGAGCAGCTCGTTTGATAATCGAGCTCGAGCCGAGCCTAGATATTCTAGGTTCGTTGCTCATCGAGCCGTATAATATATAATATTTATAATATATAATATAACATAATATAATTATAATATATAAAACTAACAATTAAAAAGTTCAAGATCAAGCTCGAACTCGAGTTCGAGTTCGAGCTCGAACAATCGAGCTCGCTCGAAAATTGCCGAGCTCGAGCTCGAGCATCAGTTCTTGACGTCAATCGAACTCGAGCTCGAGCTCGGTTCGACTCGTTTACACCCCTAAATTAAACGTTTACTATTACATTAAAAGTTACCAATTTCAACGCAATATGTCTTGCCCAACAATCCCCTCCTAGGAGCGTGCAATTAGAATTGTTGGATAAAATACTTATAGCTAATAATAAAATCACAATTATATTGCCTTATATTTGCATGCAGGCATCTTCACTTTCTAAATTTGTATTAATGACAGAACGATGGACTTAGGTCTTCAAGATCTGCTCAACACAAATATTTATAAAATATGAATATTTTTAAAATTTTAAAATTTTGGCAAAACAATTTTTAAAATAAAGAAACAAATGTGGCAAAACTTAAACATCAAAGACTAATAAATATGAAATACAAACTGATCTAGCTATACTCATAAAACAAATAAAAAGAATGGAATTTCCTCTTTTTGGAATAAGCTTTTTTTATAAAATAAAATTCTTGGTCTAGGTCTTTGCCAAGTCTTGAAGCTCCTTGGTCCTTACAGATCATGATGAGTCGACAAAAACACTTTCTTCATCGTATGCGTCATTGTATGGCCCAATGTCCAAAAAGATGTGTTTACACTTTTAGATAAATAAGTGGAGTATAATTTTTGTAATTGAAAATTACGAATTTTATTCTTTTAACATTTTTTCAGTTAAGTCAGACGCATATAAATTTTTTAATATATTTTATCTTTCTGATGTGATTTGTTAACTATTACACATAAATAAAATAGATTTAATGTATACTCTTAAATAAATAAATAGTGATCATAATTTCCTCGTAACCAAAAACCAAAAACACAAAAAGATGTGCTTCTTGAAAGTGATTATTGTCACTTTTTTGTAGTTACCAACCTTTTATTTTTTAAAAATTTTGGTTTCACATTGAAGTGGTAAAGCTATATTTATAGTTTGTAGGGCAACTACTCTTATTAATTCCCATCAAATTTTGAAGGTGGCCATCCAATTGGTGAAAGTATTAGCAAAAGATACTTGTGGAGAGGTGATGTGATGGAACTACTTTGCTTTTGTCACTTGTGAAAAAAAAAAAAAAAAAAAAAAAGTTAAAGAAGATTATGTTATTTTTATCACTTCGTGTGTCATAAATGATTTCAATAAAATTGTAGTAAATTAAAGTACTTATAGTACAACTTTCTTTGTATTCAATTTGGGAGTTCTAGCTAAATTGGCAAGGCAATTATCTACATGATTTTAAGTTCTACTTCTCATGAGAGTTGCCTATTAATTTTCTTGGTTGAGTTGGTTACCTCCTTGTGGTTCTTTGACGGGTTATACTAAGATCACAAGATGAGCTTCACCTGAAGTGCACATTCCGTACTGGTTGCAGATTTTCTCGTAAATCAAAGTTCGGAGCCGATTATGCTTAGAAACTTAGAATTGATGGTCCAAGAAAAAAAGGCAAGGTCCACCAAGAACAAGAAAATCAAATTAGAAATTAAAACGTTAATGAGTCTAAGAAAAAAGACGATATCTCAAAGAAAAATATGTAGATCTATACAAACTGACTTTAAAAATATAGTTGGCTAGCAAAAGACTAGGATATTATTGTTTGGCATGACTATAGGGGAGCAAAACAAGTTGACTGATAAGCTAGCAAGTTAGAAAACTGAAACGACCTTGATAGATCTCCTCTAAAAGTGTTAGAAATAGTTATCGAGGATTAGATACGTAAAAGAATTATTACTAGAGATCATTAAGTTTTTAATTTTTTTTATTAAAAAAAAAAAGAAAAAAAAAACTAGAAGGTAATAATGGACTGCATGCTTTTAGATGAGATAAAAAGGTGGGTTAAGGCTTTAAAGATAAAAAAGTGAAATGCCACAGTTGCAAACCAGTGATAGAGTGTGAAATGGAACTTTTTCATGCCCCCTAAAACTAGTTTCATTTGCATATATATGCAAATTGTGGGGTGGGGGGAGGGTTTCGAAGAAATTTCTATAGATTTAATTTTTCTTATTGTGACCCACCAATTTTTTTAAAAGTTGCAATGTTCCCCACTCCCTTTATATACCCAAAAATAAGATAAACAAAACATTTAATTTATAGGCTCTCAAAGCAAGAGCATATCAATCAAATGCATGCATGATAAGATATCCTTAGCTCTTGGTGTTCAATAAACTTTTTGATCATTCACATTGAGAGTTGGATGTAATATATAATTTTATATATATATATATATATATATATATATATATATATATATACACACACACACACACACACCCATTGTTGTCCAATAATTGGCACAATTAGTAAGTGTCTAATGGTGTACTCATGATAATAATGCATGCTAGAATGTTGTGTCTTATTAATGTGCGTTATAGGGAGAGAAAAATGTTATCTGCACGTAAATATAATTTATATGTATATTTATACGCGTTCATTTGATTTCATAATTCTTGATATTTATATTTTATTTATATTAAATTATTAGATGCTTGTGAATTGATGGATTTAAAAAAGAGTAAGTCGAATAAGACTGCATTATCACTATGTGTAAAGTTACATAAGTAAATGTGTGTGTATTTACTATTTAATTTTACCTTTATAGTACTAGGTCAGGTGTTCAAACCTATAAGTATGTGTAAAAATATGTAAGAAAATTTTTGTATGTGCATCTAATATTACCTTTAGGGGGCGTTTGGTTGGGGTTATATTGGATAACAAAGGTTATGTTGGGCTGGTTATTTAACATGCCTATGTTTGGTTGAAGTTATATAATATTCCCTTGGAATCCAACATTGCCGCCACATCAGATTTTTTCCCTTTTTTGAGGGAATGTGATTCCCTTGCTAAACTTAGGTAATGTTAGATTACCTTGACATTTTACATACCTCATTTTTACCAAACACAAGAATCTAACATTCCGAGTAATCTAATATTCCCAGCAATCTAACATTCCCTAAGGTAATCTAACATTCCGTGAACCAAACGCCCCCTTAAAGTAAATATAGCATGAAATCAATGCTCTTGGACCATAGTGCTACCTTCGCATATGACTCGACCAAGGCATAATTGAATTAGCATATTGTATGCAATTAAAAAAAAAAAATATTACATAACTTTTAAATTTAACAAATAACCTATGTTTCAAGTAAAATGAGCTAATTTTCCTTCAAGTAAAGTATCAAATTTGAAACTTCAATTCTCCCAAAAGGTTGAAATTCCAACCCCAAGGGCCCCTAACATTTCGGTCCGACAGAGCGTTTGAGAGAATGTAAATCACGGTGACTCTGATGATAATTCATTATGAATCAGTTAAAATTGATCAACATGAATCAAGTCATGCAATACCTAAAATGAATTAAGGGAAAGTCTTGGTGTTAAAGTTGATTCCCGGCCGCAAGATCATAAGATAGGTTAGGTAGATGTGTGTTGCTAGCTAGTTACTATGGAAACTTGTGAAGGCAATTCAAGTACCAAAAGGCTTAGCTTGTCAAGCTAAGAATATTTTTGTGCACTTTTACAAAAGCAACATTATTAATTAATAGCTAGCTAGCCGCAAACCCTTAAAACAAGTATTTGTCAGCACGAACTTAGTTCAATGGTTCAGTAGGCAGTATTTGAGAAAAAAAGACTAAGGTTTGAACGTCAGCGGTGACAGTGTGGTGATTACGCCTAAAGTGGGCAGATCCCTTGTGTGCACCAGCATTTGACCATGTCTGCTGAGTCATTGAGCTACCGTGATTTACATCCGGGGTGTGGGGGCCATTGGAGTTAGGGATTATTCAACCTTTTGAGAGAAGTATGATAATTTTCGCCCTGAAAGGGGCAAGTGAGTAAAGCATAATTTTTTTTACTTAAAGGTCATGAGTTTAATTCTTGCAAATATTATCTCGGTCAAGCTTGTCATGTGAGATCTTCCTAATGCGATTTACATCTCTTTTACAAGCTATTACATAGGAAGATGGTTTACATATATAGCGGACAAGCAATATCCAAAAGCGACAAAGTATTCAAAAAAAAAAAAAAAAAAAAAAAAGAACAAACAATATGAAGAAAAAGACACTGACAAACTTATCCAAAAAAGAATTAACAAAACTTAGAATGATTCTAACCAAAAGTAGTATCTACTACGTACTTAATACCATATCAACTACAATAAATATTTGATAATTATTTTTTTTAAAAAAAAAGTACAAATTAAACATTAATTTTAATACCAACTACAATGAACGTCTTCTATATAATCTTACATTCATATACTTTGAATTATATATATATATATATATATATATATATATATATATATATATAATATTCTATGTTTTTGTAAT